CACTACCTCTACCACTGGCTCACACTGTTTTTTTTTCTAAGACGTATGTTATTTAACTTGTTGTTGCTGTTCTGTTCTGTTCTGTGTTTGTTTTTTCATTAATGTCTTTGTATTGGAGCATACATGCAAATAAGCATTTCATTGCATTTGTGTATATGACCATAAACTGAACTGAACTCCTTCATATTAAATTCACCTGGAAATAAAATTGTAAAATACTGAAGTCTCAGTCTAATTGTTTACATCTCATGTGTCTTTTGTTTACTTTTAAATTTTATTAAGCTTAGGGAAATACCTAACGGAGCTTTTCGAAGCATCCTGTGGGGAAAAATTGTAAACTTTGCCAAAGTAAAGACAACAGCCAATGAAAAAAATATTTGGAGAGAATTTTATCTGAAAATTTCCTAAAACCTTGAATAAATACCTTAAGAAACTAGAAAAGCAAACAAAGTGATAGGAATAGAACTGAAGATGAGATTATTTGGTCCATTTTTTGCGTGTGGATAACAGACATTCAAAGATGAAAATGTATTGATTCTTTAAGCTAATGGATTTCCCTGTGTTAACAAAGTCACTGTAGTGCCATCTTCTGGAAATTTCTGGTCAGTGCTTATTTCAATGTGCAGCTTCATTAAATCTTGCTACTGTATCTTTTTTGATTTAACAGGTTTGGACTCTGAAGTTATGATGAGAAAAAAATCTGTAGAAGTACTGGCAAAGTTGAAGAACATTGTCATTTTAGATTGTGATAAAGAAGCTCTGTATAAAAAAGTAAGTTTTTTGTTTAAAAATTAAAATGATGTTCTTACTGTGCATGAAACGTTAAGTGTATAGTACTGAATTTGTTTCCTCTGTGTTCCTTGAAGGCTGTATCCATTGTTGGCAAAGAAGTCTTCAGCTTTCGGATGATCTCCCATGTTGATGCTACTGAAGGTGATGCTTACACAGATATGAATATAGTTGACAGCTGTGTCTCCTTAACTGTTGGGTGCATCCAAGTCATCTTTGTAAACAAGTTTGTCTCATCTATACTGGTAAGTGTTTTATTAAAATAATAATGAATCATTCCTTACACTTATAAAGCGCTTTTCTGGACACTCCCCTCAAAGCACTTAACAGGTAATGGGGACTCCCCTTCACCTCTACCAATGTGCAGCATCCACCTGGCTGATGCGACGGCAGCCATAATGCACCAGTATGCTTCCCACACACCAGCCATCAGAGAGATGAAGCCAGTTCATAGATGGGGATTATTGGGAGGCCATGATTGATGAAGGCCAATGGGAAATTGTCCCAGGACACCGGGATAACATCCCTGCTCTTTTCAATAAACACCCTGGGATTTTTAATGACCAGAGTCAGGACTTCAGTTTTTCGTCTCATCTGAAGGGCAGTGCCTTTTTACAGTATAGTGTCCCCTTCACTATACTGGGGCATTAGGACCCAGATAGACCACAGGATGAGCACCCCCTGCTGGCCCCACTAACACCTCTTCCAGCAGAAACTTTACTTTTTCCCAGGAGGTCTCTCACCTGCTTTATTGGGTTGTTAGTTGTGAGTTTCAGGGTGATATGGCTGCTGGATATATCAATTAAACAATTAAAGATTGTTTTAGTTATTTTTTATATCTTAGGTCGTCGTGGTGGCATTATGATTATTGCAGCCTTCTCATACAGTAACTTGAGTTCTGGTCTGCTTGAGATTGTGGCCTGGGCAATGGCCAAGGGTACACTCATTTGTGGACTTCACATGTGGGTTTTCACCAGGTGCTGAGGTTTCATTCCACTATCCAAACACATTCTGTTCTGGTCAATGGCCTTCTGTACATGTGTTGTTTTTGCCTTCATGGTTAAGGGATTTTCCAAAAATTAATACATGGAGTTATAGTTCAAGACAAATATATAATGTTGTCTATGATCTACAGTATGCAGTATATATAATATATATAGATATATTATATATACTGTACAGTATATACTGTATAATTTTCCTAATGTAAATAATTACAAAAAACATGACAAATATCTTGATTTACAAATAGTGACACATTTGCTGTTGGCCATGAGTTTTATTTACCATAAAAGCCTGGCCATTAATATATGCTGATACACATGCATTATGCATTTGCTGACAAAAAAGGGATTTTAGTTTGTTTCAGGAAACATATTGGATGATTCACAGTAAATTTTCTTTAAAAATATTAATAGATCTAATAAATATCATCAAACAAGATAATACATTATATATAATCTACTTGTAAGAAACGATATACTGCTTTAGCTTTGTTGATTTTTGCCGTTATGCATTTTAAATGAACCTGTTGTTAGTTTAACAACTAGAGCATTAACTGTCAAAATCTGCTCACCTGACAATTGAACATTTTGTTTTGTCGGTTTTTCAGCCTATTATACAGGCTGTAGGAGCTCTGTATCCATTACTATGGACGTTTGGTCCTTTTGTGAACATTCAAAGCCTTCTTGCCTGTCTCTTCGATGAATGTAATGATTGCTTTCAGCTCAGATATCTTTTTTCATTCACGATACCATTTTAAAGTAGAAATCATAGTCCTATAATGAATGAAGTGGCTGTGGCTCTTGCCTCCACATGGCTAGTGATAGCCTGTCTGCAAGTGAGCACCTCACATACAGTACACATTGTATGTATTGTACATTATACGTGTAATTCATTTTTCATAATACTAATGCAGATACATTGTAGATGGCCCTCCAATGTTTCTAATTATGCTTATAATATTACGGGTTTGTATGATCTCTGACATTTTTGAGCTCTAAGTAGTTTGTGCAGGAAGCCTAAATGTTGTTTGTTTTGAATACAGGCCTTCATAAATAACTTCCAGACGGCTAAGGAGGCATTAACTGAAGTCACAGTTCAAGCAGCAGAAAAGGCTGCTACTGGAGTGCTGGAGCTTGCAGAGAGGAGCACACGGATTTCACTGGACATCGATGTGAAGGCTCCTGTTGTTTTTGTACCTCAGTCTTCAGTCTCGAGGAATGTGATAGTGGCTGATTTTGGTCTTGTGACTGTAAAGAACAGGTTTTCAATGGTAGAAACCAAATCTCAGTTCAAAATTCCCCCAGTGATTGATGGCATGAAAGTTGGGCTCAGCAACCTAAAATTATACAGGTATGGTGTCTTTTTTTGTATCATTTTGTAAAGGCTAAATAAGAGCATTTGTTTGGAAGACTGAGACCTCCTGGTGACAAAGAAGGTGTAAAGATGTGCAAAGCCACCTGGAAGTATTCAGACCTTTCCTATGGTCCCATTTGATGCCTATCAATTTTTTTAAATTCATGTTTTACTCAAGACCTGAATGTTCACACTGAAGACTACTGATGATGAGATACGTTTCAGTAAATATCAGCATAAACTATAAAAAATGAACAATTTTGATTGCATAAGTATTGTGCCCTATGAATATTGGGCAGAAGCAGCAATTATAGCTGCAAGACTTTTTGAGCAGGTCTCTCCCAGGTTTGCTCACCAGCTTAGTGCTGTTTTTGCACATTGTTCTTGACAGCTTTACTCAAGCTCCTTCAAGTTGTTTGATTACGTGTGGATAACAACTTTTAAGTCTTTCCACATATTCTCAATAAGATTCACGTCCGGACCTCACTGCCCTACTCAAGGACATTCACCGTCTTATTTTTAAGCCACTCCAGTGTAGCTTTATCCTTGTGTTTTGGATTATTATCCTATTAAAAGATGACTTTTTGCCCTTTTGAGTTTGAGTCTCAGGTAAAATTTTCTAGTACTTTGCTCCACCTACTGTACCCATTAGTCTTGAGAAACCGATTGTACTAACCTGTATGATCGGCCCTATAGGATATGCTGTGCTGGGCATTGCATCAGATATAACACATTCACATTCTTACTGAAACCTTTTAGTTTTGACTTGTCTGTCCACAAAATACACGTTTGCAGTATCACTTACTGTAGATGCTTTGTTGCAAACCCCATGTGGGATTTCAGATGTGCTGTTTTCAGTTCCATATAAGCCTGCTTTGTGAAAAGCCTGCTTCATCATGATCAAAGAGATATTAAGGGTCTTGATTTTTTTACCCTTCTGAGCTGCGAGTTTGTCCTATATATTTTATCCCTGAGTTGTTTAGAAAGCTCCTTGGTCTTCAAGGTTGACACATGACTTCAAATTTGCTACCTGACTGAGGGACCTTTGAGAGACAAGTGTATTTATTCAGAAATCATGTGAAACTCTATTACTGCACACAGAAAGGGGGCACTTAAGCACATTAAGGCAATTTTGTGCACCTGTATTAGATTTGCCAAAGCAGAGGGTTTGAATTTATACAATCATGACTTTTCCATTTTCTATATTTTCTGTTGACTTCTTTCTGATTTAAGCTTCAAGTGTGTAGAGTAGGTTGTGTATATAACAATATTAACTGCTGTTTCAAAGTGTCATGACTGCACGCTTTAAAACTTCCAAATGTTAAAACTGTACAAGGGTCTGAATACTTTTTAATGATAAGGGCATAGTGGCCAGACAGGAGTCTCTTGTTTCCTGAGGTCTGGCTGAGGTAGAGATAGCTGGATGCTTTAGGTCATTACTGACAAATGTACAGAGCCAGTTGGCAATTGGAAAATTAAAATGTTTTTGGTAATTCTTGAGTCATCAGGTTCAAGATAAATCTTATTATAATTCCTTTTAAAGAGTCCAAAAGACTGTTTTGAAGGAGGTGTTATAAGGCTTTTTGTTTTTCGAATAGAACAAAGTATGAGAACAACAATTTTCAGCATGAAATTCAGTTACTGAAGCCTGTAAACCTGGATTTGGAAATTGAGCGTAATTTGTCTGCATCCTGGTACCACAACATTCCAGACATCAACATAAAAGCTCACCTCAAACCAATGAACGTAAGTGAAAAAATCTTTGATATGTAGTATTACTATCTGCCGGTGTAACAGTATTTGAAATAGCTACATACTACAGTTGTTATTCTGGGCTTTAGGTGATGTGTTTTGACAGATTATTTATTAATCAGTTGGTTAGTATAAAATATAATTTCTTTATACATTTGAACTGCTATACAATAAATGCATAATTGTCTGTAAAAATATCATACTTGAATACTTGCATTCCTGTATGTACATAAATACAGTAAATATTGTATATACTTATATAAGATGAAAGAGCCTATTTTTACTGTTTATTTTTATTTGTTAGCTTGTACTCGGCCAGGATGACCTGACTGTTGTATTGAGAACTCTGAATGAAAACCTATCAGAAAGTCCTGACAACCCAGCTCTTCCAGGCCCAGTGGATAAGTCAGATACTGTGTCTACAAAGGATTCACAGATATCACAGAATTCTGGAGGTATGCTTTGTCACACCTTTTATGTATTTATAAAACTGGTCAAAGCCAGGTAATAACACCAAAAAGTGTCTGTAAATGACATAAAATAAAAGGGTCATTTAAAACCACTAAAGAGCACCTGTAAAAACAATGGAATGCAATTTTGACAAATTTTTAGAAAAATCCAAAAATAGGCGAAATTACAAATATTGTAACAGCAGCACAAGTAATACAAATCAGGACATGGCAGGCATTTGGCAAATTGACAGCAGCAGTACTACCCTGTAGCCTGGTCTTGTCAAATCTCCAGAGCTAAAATGTTAAGGCAGATAGAGAGCAGACTGCATGGGGTCCCTCGATTCTAGGCATTTATCTTGAGTACTCAGGGGAGCAATGTAAGAACGCAGGGAAACAAATAACTGATTTCATAGGAGCATTTAAGAAGGGGATAGATGGTTTTTTTCAGTTATTAAGCTATAGGCAACAACATTAGTATTATTAGTATTTGAGAAAAAAAAAGGTTCCTGTTTTATCATCATTCTGTAAAATGGAAGTTTGTTTCTAATACCTTATGTGTTGCTTTTTTCTTAATTGTGTTGTGTTTTTTTTTCCAGGGAATACAGTTGTTACTGCCGCTGTTGTGGAGTCACAAAAACCTACAAAATTAAAAACCACCCTCAGGCTGGATTTTAAATTTGATTCATTGACATTGGTATTATACAGCCCAAATGGAAGCGAGGTACCAGAAAAATCTGATACAAGTTTGATATATGGATATATAAGTTTCTGGAGCATTAAGTGAAATTTAACTTTAATTTCTTGAACCTAGGTTCAGATATTGGATTCTAGAGATGAGCTCCTGAAACTGGCTGAGTTCAAGCTTGGATTGATTTCAACAGCTGTGCAGATGTTTTCTGATAGTTCCATGAAAGCTTCTGTCAAACTTTCTAATTGTCTTCTGGATGATAAGCGGCAGAGAGTAAACAAAATTACTCCAAGGTAAAGATGCTACCTTGTGGTCCTTTTTTTTCAGTTGGTGTTTTTTCAGTTCTTCTAGAACAGTTGCCCTAAAAAGGTTTTGGCTTCTTCAGACAATCAGTTTGAAGTGTTGCAGTGTCTTGCAAAGGTGTGGACAAAAGTCCATTGAGGTCCCATTTGATGTACTGTATGAATGATGTACAGTAAAAGTGAATATTTTTAATTTAAACTTGAATTCTCAAACTGAATGCTTTTATAGATGGAAAGGTTAAATGTCAGAAAAGGCAAAATGTTACAATTTCGTGCCGTCTGAACATGAAACATTTTACTATTTGTTTGCAGTAGTTAAAAATTTGTATTCACTATTTGTAATTAAAAAAATACGACATCATTGGACATGGATGAGGTACTGGTGCTGTACTGTATGTTCTCATTATATAAAAGTGGGAAACTCTTCTTGAAGCTCCTTCATAATGTCCCCCAACAATCACGCCTCTTTCAGAGTCTCTTAAGTCTCCTCTTGCTGCCAAGCTAGACATAATTATTGGTAGCTAGGCCTGTCCAGTATCTTTATACATGATCCTAAGAATGATGGCATATTACTTACTCAATGCATGAGCAACAACTGTGTGGAAGTCCTTGCTTTCAATGCACCTGGTGCCTGTCATTTATCCAGCTGTTTCCTTTTTTTTACTACCGATATGTTTACTGAGATCGTCTAGAACCTATTCATCCTTCATTCATGGTGGTTTTGAAATGTACGTCTTCAGTTTGCCAAAACTGCTGTTACTCGATTTTAATGTGCAGTGTATTCTGTCCACTCCTGTTGAATCATTGCATCAAGTGAGACTTTGCCTGGTCTCTCTTGCTATTTGTTGTTTTTAGTGTATTATGCATGCACAGTACATGTGAATGTGTGTTAAATTGATTACAGGTCCCATTTAAATATGTGTTGTGATATTTCATGTTCTCCAGGATGGTGGAAATGAAGGCCAGTGCTGAGAAGAATGTGATGGTGGAAGTCAACTACAAGCAGGGGAGGGAGGGAACAGTCCTCGACACCATTGTTCAAGACATATACCTCTGCGCTAGCATGGAGTTCTTACTCACTGTCGCCGACATCTTTGTCAAGGCCAGCCAGCAAGGTTTCTCCACACCACAGAAAACCAATAAGCAAACCACCACCACATCTAAAGAACCAGGTTAGCAAGAACTTCCCTCCATCCATTTTCTGTTCAGTCCCCTCCAGGGTAATTCGCGAGCAAATGTATGTCTATAATGAGACAAATTGTCATTTCTTGCATTTACTAAAACCGCAAACATACTGTGTTGTGGATTTTATAATGTAACATTCATGAGAAGCATTTACTTTCAAATGTGATTTTCTAAATGTTTAGTTTTTTTGTTTGCAAGGACTTTCTCACCATTTCACAGATTTATCCTGTAGTTGTTTGCACATAATTCCAGGTAATAATAATAATAATAATAATAATAATAATAACAATAATTGCTTGCACTTATGTAGCGTTTTTCTGGACACTCCACTCAAAGCGCTTTACGGGTAATGGGGACCCCCTCCACCACCACCAATGTGCAGCATCCACCTGGATGGTGCGACGGCAGCCATAGTGCGCCAGAATGCTCACCACACATCAGTTATTAGTGGGGAGGAGAGCAGAGTAATGAAGCCAATTCATACATGGGGATTATTAGGAGGCCATGATTGGTAAGGGCCAATGGGAAATTTGGCCAAGACACCGAGGTTACACCCCTACTCTTTTTGAGAAACGCCATTGGATTTTTAATGACCACATTAGAGTCAGGACCTCAGTTTTACCTCTCATCCGAAGGACGCCGCCTGTTTTTACAGTATAGTGTCCCCGTCACTATACTGGGGCATTTGGACCCACATGGACCGCAGGGTGAGCACCCCCTGTTGGCCCCAATAACACCTATTCCAGCAGCAACCTTAGTTTTTCCCAGGAGGTCTCCCATCAAGGTACTGACCAGGCTCACACCTGCTTAGCTTCAGTGGGTTGCCAGTTGTGAGTTGCAGTTATGAAGGTATGATGTCTGGTGATTAGAATATTGAAACACATACAATGCCACTTTTAAGAAAGGTAAAATCTAATAAACACAGATGTGCATTTGTTAAATATCAATTTTTTGACATGAGAATGAGTACTGAAGAATTGTGAATAAGGCTTTGGATGTTTGAAACAACATGGATACATTTTCATGGTATCAGAAATATTGCCACCCTAACATAATAAAAAAACCGCAGGCTCTTCTTAGAATCAAAGCGAAAAATCAGACAAAAGTAGGTTTCTGATACCATGAAAATGTATCCATATTGTTTCCTACTTTCGTCTGATTTTTCGCTTTGATTCTAAGTAGAGCCTCCATTTCTTTTTATTTTGTTAGGGTGGCAATATTTCTTTAACATATACCGCATTTTATGTTAACAGCTCCTGCACAACCTCTGGCCAAAACTGAAATGAATGTGCTGGTGAAGAATCCAGAGATAGTGTTTGTTGCAGATCTGACTCGAGCGGATGCCCCTGCTTTAGTGATGACAGCCCAGTGTGAAGTCTGTATGAAGACTGATCCAGAGGTTCAGAAGATGACAGCCGCCATTAAGGATCTAAAGATTGTCGCATGTCCTTTTTTAGGAGAGATCAGGAAAAATAACATCACTACAGTAGGTTTCACAAAATCAAAATTCATGAGAGTTAGGTCATAGAAATGTCGAAACGATCAGTTGATGAACAGAATTAAGATATTTGTTTCTTTTCGGTTTTTAATTCTGCCGATTTAAACTTTGATTCTAAGCTGAGACACAAACTAATGTAATTAAGATTCCACTGGCTTGGGAATAAGTTACAATTTAATGAAGCACTTTTTTCTGAATTCTTTAGGTTTTTTAGTATTTCCTTTTGTTTTAAGCGTGGGGCTACCCAAATAAAAATGTTTCTTATTAGAGATATACTAAGGAACTTGGCTTCATCTGGATTTGAGGTATTTTTACCGTAACACACACTCTTGAAACCTCCAATTGGTGTAGAACCTTCAACACCCTCCTGTATGAATTGCGGACAACAACGTTTGTATTTCCTGCTTTCTGATAGTTTGCTGATTCAATTTGTATTAATTATTAATCCTTCTACATAATTGCAAGGCATGTCTCACAACATAAGATAAACAAGACAATATTAAATATTTATTTATTGGAACTACTATACCTTCATCAAAACTGCAGTCTAATAAAATATTTCAAATAAAGACATTACATTATTGGTACAGGTGTTACTGAATCTGGTGAAGCGTGTTCTTCAGCACCCTTTTTTAAATCTCTTGCAATTAAACATTTCTTGTTTTAGGTTCTTCAGCCATGCGAAGTGTTTTTCCAAAGTGTACAGTCACCTTCCACACCACAAAAACTGGAACTCACCATACTGGCTCTTGCACTCAAGGCAAGAATATTCTTTGTTCCTTAGTACTTACTATTCTTAGTCCTTTCTCTTAATAAGCTAATGTGAGCTTTGCGAGTCCAAGCAGGTGTAATCTTTGTATCATTAATTCCCTTGTGAGATATTCATCAATTTGGTATACTGAACCTTAAATGTTCTCTCTGCTTTTGTTTACATGAGTTCTCCGTGACATTAGATTTCAGAAATGTAAGGCATGTACCTCATCTTTGTTTTTATTGCTATTTTTTTAGGTTTCACCAATTATCATCAACACCGTAATAACAATTACTTCAGCCTTATCCCCCACTGCAGAAACTCCCCAGGAGCTAGAGAGCCCCGTCCCACCCAATCTGTGGGATAAGAAGGAATGGAAAGAGCTGAAACTTTGGTTCCTGGATGAGGAAAATGGTGATGACTCTTATTCTGTGACTCCTCTAGTTCCTCAGGGTGAATCCCTGCAAATGTCTATAAACTCAATATTACTGACTCTGGAAGCTGGAGTTGGACACAGGACTGTCCCTATGCTTCTTGCAAAGTCATCATTTTGTGGAAGTGTGAAAGACTGGAGTACTCTCATTAATCTCCAGAGTCATCTTAAATTAGAGGTAAGAGCCTTTTTGTGTTTGAACAATAATTGGTTCAATTGCCATAATAAAACCTGCTTATTAAAAGGGAACTGAAGTTCCCATTTCTCAGACCGGTTCTGAAATTTTGGTAACAAAATAAATGTATTGATGTTACAGAACAAAATTAGAAAATGTCAAATTAAATACAAAATCATAAACTTTGTGAAAGTACTGTAAGTCGCCGTGTTTCCGCAAACTTGCATTCAAGTTCCCATGAACTATGACGTTCCTGCTCACTAGTCTCCATAAAGACTAATGCAATATCATGTCCGAGCAAGTAAATACAGGTTGTGCAACAGACATTTCACTGCAGAATTGTTCCAATGTGATCTACATGCAGACATCACAAGTAAGTAAATATTTCCTGGAGGATTGTGTTAATTGTTTAATTGTTGTGACCTCGATACGGGTTACATGAGATGTGTACCATGCTTATAGTGAAGGCAGAAAACGGGGTATGCTTTTAAGTATAAAATTTGAACTAATACCAAAGTAAGGTATGAATGAATTTGACCAGCATTGTGTTTTTAAGTAATTAAGTACTGAAATAGATAATAATAATAATTATAATAATAATTGCTTACACTTATATAGCGCTTTTCTGGACACTCCACTCAAAGCGCTTTACAGGTAATGGGGACTCCCCTCCACCACCACCAATGTGCAGCATCCACCTGGATGATGCGACGGCAGCCATAGTGCGCCAGAACACTCACCACACACCAGCTACCAGTGGGGAGGAGAGCAGAGTAATGTACCCAATTTATAGAGGGGGATTATTAGGAGGCCATGATTGGTAAGGGCCAATGGGAAATTTGGCCAGGATGACTCTAGTGAAAAATGTGTTGTCTGTTCTGAACTTTCTAAACTGTTTTGTATGAAGTCTGTGTATCAGTGCAGTTGTAAAAGCTTGCTTCTTGCCGGTCTCAGGTCCACTATTACAATGAGGTTATGGGTGTGTGGGAGCCTCTGCTTGAGCCATTGGAGGAAGAGTCTAGTGACGGCTTCCGCCCATGGACCTTGGGGATTAAGGTAACTCCATCATCTGAAGAGTCTTGATAGATTTGTTTTTTAAAAGATACTTTCTGGTGAAACTGAATTTGTAAAGAACAAAAATAATCCTGTATTTTCAGCTTTGTAAAACCTTTCTGCCAATTAATAAAGACTTGAGACTAAAATGTTTATGTGCATTATTACTTTACAGGTGTTTCTGATAACTAAACAAGTTTGCTTCCGATTTGATCTTTGATCTTTGATCTTGATTTTTCAGATGGGTTACAAAACAGTTAGATTCACAATTTTCAGCTGCTGTTTCAAATGACCTTTAGTGTTAATTAAGATGTTTAAGGCTTTTTATAAGAAAAATCCTTTTAATAAGCTTCAAGATATTTTTACATCACTGACGTTTTCCTTATAGACCACACCATATGTCTACACGTGTTTTCTTTTGTATGTTTTAGATGAAAAAGAAGCCTGTCAAGTACACTGCAATATCTGATGAAGTGGATTATAATGTCCCAGATTATAAAACTGTAATCACCATCAATTCAAAAGATCAGTTGAACATTACTCTGTCCAAATGTGGACTGGGAATGCTTAGCAATCTCGGCACGGTAAGAAACGTTCTTTCATCAGCCGATATGGAAACCATTATTGGAATACTGGTAGCCAATGACTTATAAAGGACTGAAAGATAAAGGACTTCTAAAGACTTATAAAGGACTAAAAGAGGCAAAATGTTAACATGGGTTTATATACCATCATGAATATTTTCACCTGAAATTGATAATTTCTTCCAGGAATGGATAGATCTTTCTATTATTTATGTTTTGTTTTAAGGACATTGAAATTCTAAATGTAAAGACTAATGTTTGTATTGTTGTCCTAATGTTCCTTAAAAGATATTAAGTTAAAATCCTTTGTCAAATGCTGTGACTATTTCTAATATTGCAATGTCTTAACAGACTTTAAGTTATACTTAAATGTTATGACACTTTGTTAGGAGCAATCAGCTATGAGCAACCAACACTCAAATGAAATGAATGAAATACTCTTTCATTGTCTTTTTAAAACAGTGTTTATATTTGTTGTCCTTTATTACAATGCAATGATAATTTTAACGTTTGCTTATTTCTTGAAGGCCTTTGCAGTAGCAGCTACACAAACAGCAGAAAACTTCCAGAAAGACCAAGCACCATTTGTGATAAACAACTGCTTGGGTCTCCCTGTGACAGTAGCGCATGGTGATGTTTTTAATGCGGTGGGCAAAGATTCAAGAAACAAGAGTTTTGAGATGCAGGTCAGAGAGAGCGTTAACATGGATTATGCCAGGACAATGAGTGAACACGACCAGTTCACAGCTATGACCAGCCTGAGTGGAAAGAACTACTACATTCAACCTAGTAAGATATTAACATAAATTGCACATACCATGGTTTGAATCTTTTAATGAAATTAAGTGTAGTGGAACAACAATAAGAAGAAAGGCTTGTCAATATACAGAATGCTGTTAATACTAAGTTATAGTAAGGCCTTTTTTGACCATTCTACTGATTGAAGTGAGTGTTTATAAGGGTTCCATTGAAGTTAAATGGCTCGGGGGGGAAGCTACAAAAGAGAACGAACAACAGAGATTGTCTAATCCTTTAAGAGTAGATCAGTAAAGGTGTACAAATCAGTTAATGGTGCCAAACTAGACATTTGATCTGGTAAATATCAATATTTTAGGGAAAAGGTAACCTAAAGTTGCCCTATCGGCGGGCAGACGATATCAGCAAGTGTCTGCTGAAACCTACTGTAATTAAGATCCTAGACTGGGAAAGTTAAGGACCAAACAAGAGTGAAAATGATTAAACACCAGGGGTCTGTGCTTAGTCAGTTTTGAAAAGCATAAACATGGCAAAATGCTGGAAATGCTGAAACTCCTGAAAAATGGGAATGTTTCAGTATATCCATTCCTGTGTAACTCCATACAACATGCTCAAAATGACCCTGTCCATCTTACTTTATTTGCAGCTCCCCTTGGCCACTCTGCAGCCAGTAGAATTCCTCTCATCAAAGTAGGCCAAGGTCTGTACAGCGTCATGCACAAGGATTCAACAGTGATGCGCTTCATTGTTTGTCAGATCTATTCCGTGGAAGGAAGTAAGGTCATAACAATTCGTTCTCCATTTCAAGTGAGTTCATTTCAGACCGAAGAATGTTCATGCATTGTAAATGTCATTAAAGTGCAATATTTCTCAAGCTTTTATATTGATGGCATCTGTTTTTTTTTTCTTTTGCTTTAGATCAAAAATCATTTTTCCTTGCCGTTTCGTGTTTATGAAGGTGACATGTTTTTGGGAACGGCTTCACCTCAGGAAGATTTCTGCATTCCTTTACCATCATACAGGTATTTGTTATACATTGATTAGCGATGGGGTTTGTTTATTTTTTTAAATATTGCATTAAACAACATAGTTTTGCTGTGTTTTTGTTTTCAGATCAGTCCTTACTCTACAGCCCATAACCGAAGGTGAAGAAACCTATGAGAAATCTGAAGAATTTACTTACGAATCTGTCACACAACAAACTGGACAATGTGTACAAAAGAAATGTATTTGCTCTGGACACAGTGACCGCCTCATGGTCATTAATATGGTCCCAGTCCAAGACACCTTAACCTCCAGCAGCACAGAGGAGAAGTTTGATGAACCTTACATTTTACACTTGTGGCCTACGGTTCTTCTCCGGAATTTGTTACCTTACCCAATTACCTTCTCCCTTAAGGTTTGTTAATCAATTTATTTTATAACCAGAGCTTTTCAGCCTCCATTGCCATTTCTTGGGGAGCCAGCGGGTGCTTGTTTAAAGTGCTCCTGCCTGTCAGTTTTTATTTATTGTACCATTTTTGTGTATATTTCAAGCATCTTTATGCAGCAAAAGCAACATTTCAATTTAGCACATTTAATTTATTTTGGCGGTGTTTTGGAATCATAGTGTTTAACATAATGTTACAGGCACTCATTTCTGGTTATTCACTCGTACCCCGGTATAGGAATGTTCGGTATACGAATTTTCGCTTATCCAAACATGAAGAATTTGTATCTTGTAATTTGTTACAAGAACAAAGTTTCTCTAATCTGTATTTTGAAGTTCAAAAGTGACCGACTTTGGCCAAGAACCTTCTGCGAACCTTTGAATTCAGCATCAGCTGTTTGTTACCGCACAGGCGCAAGTCAGTCTCCTTAAGGACGCCATGAGGCACCACTGCTTTGTTAACGATCACAGCCGAAAGCTTGTGATCTCATTTTCAAAGTGTTTTTTGTGTTTGTTTTGTAGTTCCTGTTCTTATCTTATCTCTTATGGTCCTGTAGTTAGAGTTTGGAATGTGTTTTTAATTGCAGTGAAACATTTGGAATGGAAAGGATGGAAAGTTGTATGTAAAGGCTAAACTATGATATCTGATTGAGTTAAGAACCATTTTCAGGGATATTTCTTTCTTTGTAAAGATTAATGTATCTCCAAAAAAGCCAAAAACTGTTGTAATTTCTCTGCCTTTTTACTTTTTCTCTTTAAGGAGAATGTAAACTCTTCCTCTACCATGCTCAAAGAGGGCCATTCTGCCCAGATTCATAATGCCATAATGGAGTCTAAACTGGAGCTTCACTTGCTGGATTATCTTAATCAGAAGTGGAAAGGGGAGTACTTTATTAGAGAAAAAGAGGAAGAAATCAGCTTCATTGCTTTCAGCTCTGTCAATGAAGAGGAAAAGATGGAGCTTGATATTGCAGTGCATGTGACATACAACACAGGGCAGACCATTATCGGACTGTACTCTCCTTACTGGATGGTTAATAAAACAGGTCGGCTGTTGCAGTACAAAGCTGACGATGTCCATCGGAAACATCCAAAAGACTACAATAAACCACTCCTTTTCTCTTTCAAACCTCGTAACTTTTTTCAGAATAACAAGGTATAGCCTTACATGTTAATTTTTTTTTTAGAATTGTTTATTTCTATATTTTCTGAAAGGGTGGTATGAATTTTTGGACTTTACCTTTTCCACATTATATGTACTGTACATTTGATACTCTCTTAAAGGTGCAACTCATGGTGTCCGATAGTGAGCTATCTGACGAATTCTCGCTTGATACTGTTGGGAGCTATGGTGATGTGAAATGCAAAGGCAGGAATAAAGACTATTTGGTAAGATCTAACACTATTCCAGTAAAACTAGCAATCTGAAGCATTTCAAAATAAAACAATTCTTCATTGCATGACCTACCTTGCATTTTGCCTTGTTTTGTACTCACAAGTTTTTAGCAATACATTTTAAGACCTGAAAAATTGTAGAAAAAAAGTCTTCACCCTTTTAACTATTTTATTTTTAAAAAGTATTGTACATCCAACCATGCTTATTAAGTAATTCAATCATTATTTAAAAAGGGAAATCTATGGAGTGCCAAAAATTAGAATTGCTATCTCATGTCTAAAATAAAATCAGCTAGACACTATTACTTGTTAAGAGGAATTGGTGATCAGTAACATTAGGAAAGGTAACTTTGTTAAGAATCTGAGCATTATTCCTTAAACTAAATGAATAATGAAAGTGTTGAAAATGAAGGGTGTCAATGCTATTGGATATTTGTTTAATTTGCTGTACACTCACCTGTTTAATGTTTGTAATTATTGTAGGTTGGAGTGAAAATTGATGCCAGTAGCTTTAGCCTCACAAGGATTGTTACCTTTGTGCCATTTTACATGCTGGTCAACAGAACAAAGCACCACATTCAAATCACAGAAGAAGGTCAAAAGGAATGGACAGTCGCTGACCCTGATCAGGTAAGATTGATGGAAATGTTATCTACCTGTATAGTTACAGTTCTACTATCTTCAATGTTCATGATGATTTCTATTCCACATTCCGCAAAACAAGGAATGTAGCAAAACGTAGGAGCCGTTCAGCATAATCCTATAATTCTCTTGGCTGCCCAATTAATTCTAGAATCTAAAGACTGTTCCTTTTGAAGATTCTGTCTTTTTTGTAAACGGCCATGTATTGTGTTTATTTTAGTATAGAAAACTATTAAAATCCTCTTTCTGCCGGTGAAAAGAATCATCTTAAACTGAATCTTACAGCTTCATTTAAAATAGGAAACATTTGCACTTGAGTTAGAATTGTGACTACTATTTGAAAATCCTTTTCTTTTTTTTTTTTACAGCAAGGTGTACCATTTTGGCCTGAGAAGGAGTCAAAAAAACTAATGATTAAAGTTAAGGAATGTCTCTCTCCACCACAAAAAATAGATTTCCATAAGCAGGAAAACTGTCTACTATTGCACCTGGACAACAAGGTGAGAATTTTAAAGTAAATTAAAAAAAATATTGGAATCTGCTTTCTAAAGCATTTTTCTTTTAGCTTCCTGTTTCTTAGATAAAATATATACATTTGTAATGCAACAATCTTTTTAAAAGTTTTAATTTTTTTAGTTATTTTGTTATATATATATAGTATATACTGTAACTGTATGTTTTCTTATAATGTTTTATTCAGTGTTTCTTTTCATCCACAGCTTGGTGGCATCATTGTGGATGTTAACCTCACTGAACATTCCACTGTCATCAGATTCTCTGACTATCATGATGGTGCGGCACCATTTCTGATCATAAATCACACTAAAGCAGAGACTTTAGAATTCTATCAGAGGTGAGGTTTTATCAGATTGTACTAGTTATTGTGTATTCTAATATATGCCTGGATCACTATTCAGGTTTTCACATTCGCTATCAAGAAAGAACAGCACAGAGAGTGAATAACATTAGACTGACAAGCATAGTGTGATGTCATATTAATTAATTAAAGATCTTGTTCAGTTTCTCCACACCTGTCCAGTGTTCGATGTGGAGAGCTGAAAGATTCACCCAGCTGGGTTACATGTGACCTTTTGGATAATGGACAATTTAAAAGAAATGAATGGTAAAAGCTGTAGGAACATAGGATATTGGCTATTTGCCTGCTTCTGATTAGTGGTCAGATGTTCAAGTAACAGATGGAAGATGGTATTGCCTCCCATCTACGGTGAAAGTAATACTCTATAACACAGTAATGCCAAGCCATGGCAATGCTTTGTTCTTTCTCCTTATTATAGGTGTACTGCTGCGGATTCTTACACATCTGGAATATGGCATTCATGTTTTTTCCTGATTCACCATAAGGCTCAAACAAGTGCTTACGGAGTCAGCAGTCACTGTTGTCACACATTCAGTTATCTTAATTACACAACTGTGCATAGTGTAGAATCTGGTGTCACAGCTCATGTTGCACACGAAGTGTACAGAAGGAAGTGGGGAGTCATTACTCTTCCCAGTCAGCCAGAACCTGGACATAATGTACATAAAACACTATCACAGACTGGTCTGGGCTGTGTAATCTAGTGTTGGCTGTAGTTTTGCTAGGGCTGTACAGTATGTGCTTCTTTCAGATCCAGATATCGATTTATGACCAGTCCATCTGTAATTGCTTTTTTAAGGAGTGATCCATTCTAGTTTTCAAAATACCTTCAACTGTATTTCCGTGGGCATCATTTTTATCTGAACTGATGTACTGATATCAGTTCTAAGAAGTCATGCAAATATAGTGCACATGCTGATAGAAATGCTGTACTTGCAGTTCTAGAGTTTAGTTCTTATTTGCCCTGCTTAATAACTGAAAAACCTTGTCAGTATATTTGGCGATGAACACAGTTGCACCATTTTAAATAATGGATTGTTTTTAAAAAAAATTGAATTGGCATTGATTTTCTCCTGTCACGCATTGCAGTACCCAGAAAGAAAAGGATGAGCTACAGCCAGGTAACGCTGTGTACTACACCTGGACTGAGCCAACTGGTTCACGGATTCTGAAGTGGAGGTGTGGAAAATACACAGGAGAACTGAAAAATGAAGAGGTGTGCACATAACTCGTTTTTCAGATTCGTTTGTTTTCTCTTTGTTTAAGTTTTCTTTTTCTGTTGTCCCCCTTTTGCTTAGCAATGGGGAGATAAGGCTTCTGTTCTAAATTGGAAAATGTTCTTCGAAAGTAAGAGTTATTTTTTTCCCCCTTGTAGGACAAACTGAATGACTTGGACAGTGAAGGAAAGCTTTTCTTGGTATCGTTCTACGAAGGACTGCAGCGCGTAGCATTGTTCACAGAGGACAACCATGTCTACAAGCTCCTTTGTGAAAGTGAAAAGGCTGAGCTTGCAGAGCAAGAAATCATTCTGTCCTTACAGAATATGGGAGTGTCACTGGTTAATAATAATACTAAACAAGAAGTTTCCTTCATAGGAATAACAAGGCAAGCTGAAACATATCTAGAGATGGTTCTGTACAGTTAAACATTTTCCCTGTTCAGATTCATTCAAGTTTGCAGAAACTTTTATTCAACTATCCTTCAGAACTTATTTTAGAAAATGAAAAGGTAGATTTTGATAATTTCGTTGCTTTACATAAGTTAACATTATTATTTTAATTAAAAAAATCTTATAGATGCACAAATATTTTTATATTTTAATTTAATTTTTATCTTCCTTTTTACGGTAAGAATAGGAATTATATGGTGGTAATTTTTAGTGTTAAAGTACAGTATTTGTTTGCTAGAAAAAACATGTTGAATATGTTTTGACTGCGTGGAATTTAGTCACAAAATACAGGAACCTTTGAGTTATGTCCTTTACCAAGTGTATAACTACCTATTTACTGACATATTTTTAATGTATCAATTCTACTGAACAGTTCTGACATTGTGTGGGAATCAAAACCCAAAAGCAAGTCCAGATGGAAACCTATGAGTATCAAGTACACAGAGTTGTTGGAGAAGACCTTTCAAGAATATATTGATAAAGGACCTGTTGATTGTCTTATTAAAGCCTTGGACCCCAACCTTCAGGTTAGTTTTGAATGTCATGTTTGTTAGATCACAGTTCCTTTTGTTTAGTTTCTGTCAAAAGCTTAGGTTCTGTATGTTCTATTTTTTTTTTTGTAGGTTTATTTAACTCCAAATGGCACAGATATGAAAATGTTGGCTCCCCACGAAGCTCCAATCCGGAGAAACTTCTTGCCAGCTGTGAAAGTGGAATACAGTGTGTCTGCTCGCCAGAAAGCTTATAGAGTCCAGGTTTACAGAATACAGGTGAAACAGTCTACAACTAAATTTTTAACTTTCAGAAATTAATAGTCTGGTGGGTCTTTGTTGCAGACATTACATTAGCAATCTGAACATTTCAACATAATATGAAATGCTTTTGTTAAACCTCATCTGATTGCATTGGCAAACGTTCTGAAACCGAGTTTCAATCAAAAGTGTCATAATTGGGTAAAAAAAGCAATTGTTCTGATATGCACATGGATAATGTAAGCCCTACTTCACATAATGGCATATTCCTTTGAAACATTAACACGATTTCACATAAATGTCCTTCAGAATATTAAAATTTATGTTGCTGGAACATTCCCAAAACAATAGTCAAACACGTTTGTATCATGCAACATTTTATCATTCCCTGCAACACTTTTGGTGGAAATCGGCATCTTAACAGAAATTGTTTCATTAACCTGTGACTTCCCAGATTCAAAACCAGCTTCCCGGAGCCATCTTTCCCTTTGTGTTTTACCCCATAAAACCTCCAAAGTCTGTCACAATGGATTCAGGTCAGTAAAGGTTAACTCTGAAATATTTTTAACGTTATCTTAATCCCGCCAAGTAATGCACAACTATATTGATAGAAACAGCCGAGGCAAAATAAAGAAACCGCTCTAAGAAATGTGGCCATCGTAAAAGCAACAGAAAAGAAATTTGAGAACAAAAACATTTGTACAACATTTGTACATTGAGTACAAAAACATATTTTTTCATTGTTACTCATTTTTGTCATCTTTGAACATTTCTTCATTGAATTTTAAATGCATCTTTACATAAGCCAATATCTGCATTTTGACTTGACTGTTTTTGTCTTTTGCTTCAGCATAATCTAGCGTGGGGGGTCATCATATTAGAATTTATTTAAATGGAAAAGAAAGAAAAAAGAGCCTCGATTTAAGGGAAATACTTTATTTAGACTTTTCTTGTTTATTTAGTTCAGGTCTAAGTAGTATAACTATATCATCCTAAAAAAATAGATTTTTATATACCCTAAATACATTTTAATTTTACCATTTGTTGCATGTTTTGGTCTAAAAAAATGTTCTGGATAGTGAAGTAGTTATGACAAAGAATATGCTGTAATGAATTGGAAACCTGATTGAAATTTGCAAGCTAATTTTGACTGATATTTAATCTCAATTTCAGTCACTTTTTCATTTTATTGAGCAGTTCTTCACCATACGTTGTTCTTATATATTTATTGTAATGTAAGGAATTAATGGTGTGATGAGCTGTCACGTAGACTTTTCATGCTTTGTGTGACGCCTTCAGCCAATAATATTTGTTTGAAAAGTCTGCTTGGGGTGTAAAAATAAACTAGAATATAGATCATTATGTAAGGTAATGTGGCTTTTATAGTTGAAAGCTAAAGTACTCCTTCCACCTTTATTTTACCTGATAAGAACTTCATTTGACATTCAGTTTCATTGTCTACCCCTTTGTACAGTATTTATAACTTAATCATCTTCATCTTTACCATGCCAACCTTTTTTATCCTCAGCACAATCACTTTTCTTGTTTTGTATTATTTTTTTAAAATACTGTACATACTAGGAGAACTGGAGTTAACTTTGCCTCGAACACCTTCATGTGCACAAATATTCTCTCTTAAAATGAAGTAGCTGATTTTGTATACAGGTACACTATTGCAGTGCCATTAAACATTAAGCTTGGGAGACTTGTGCTTTATCAGTATGATCAGTATGTCTTACAATTGAATGTTTGTCGAGTGTTATACAGTATTTAGCTACATTTACTGTATATGCAGTATGAATAGACCATGGTCAGCCTGTAACAACATATTATTTAAAACAGTCAAAACCTTGGAAAAAATTAAAATTGAGTTTGTTTTCAGGTTATTAATTTGAATTTAGAAGCCTGATCTTAGGATAGTAGTCAATACAATCTGAGAACTATACTTTATACAGTGTCATTGGTACTTGTATAATACAGATGAAACATTGGATTCACACATGGGCGATGCCCTCAAATTGACCTCAAGAAAGCTGCTTGTCAGTCAACAGTGGGAGTGTTGGTAGATTTGAATTTTAAATATATTAAAGGATCTGCAGAAGTTTGTAATGGAATTTTTCCAAATGTAAACCTATGAATTTCCTCTATTGTAAAAATTAGCCTTCTATTACTTTTGTAGGCAGAGAGCACTTACCAAAGCAACTTCTTCTTTCTTGTCTTAGTATATTTATGGTCATTAATGCACAGTAATAATTCATGTCTAGCTCTTATATGTAGTGTACAGTTGATGAATTCCATTCAAAGCATGAAGGCAGGAATAGACACAGGAATCTGTTCGTTTTCTGTTTCTTACCCATTTTCTAACATTGTGCTGTTTTATACAGAACCTAAACCTCTGACTGATGTCAGCATTGTGACAAGGTCTGCAGGACATTCTGATATATCTCGCATCAAGTGAGTTAGAATTTTTTTTCTTCATAAGGAATTTATATGTTCCTTCTAAATAAAGTATCTTGGGCCATTTTGTGAGGGCAAAATCACATGCTTAGTATATAAAGGCACTGTAATTCATTGTGAACTTTGAGCTTGTTTAAACGTCTTTTTTCACACCTAAATTGCATCCAGTTGTACTTTTGATGGCCTATTTATGTCTGGAAGTCTTGGAACTACAACAAAACCCACAATTGCCAAATCTCACCAAAAATGTTATTAGCAAAATGAAAAAGACTCTAAAAGAGAAAACAATCAAAAGGTGTAACCAAGATTTGCATTCTTTTTGTGCCTTCCTCCACGTGCTTGTTTAAATGTGTGCTTACGTGGTGATTAATAATTCATATCTTTATTGTGTCAGCTAGTAAAGGTTTGGTCCTTATTTGGGATTGGTTGGCCTTGCAAAATCAGAACCTCTGTTACATCTGGAATGCTTGCCGTGGCATCAGTGAGGTATACACCCCATTCACTGTGGGTACTTGACTTTCTATACGATACTGCAGAGCTTGTGGCCTGTTTAAGGATCAGTGGCTCCAAGAGGAGACTGGTCAGAGGAGCCCGGCTACATTCTTTCATTTCCCTTGTATGGATACAGGGACCATCCTTGTGAGCTGAGATATTGACACAACTGGTGACTTTAAATCAGATAGGCAGTATTATTAAAAATAACTGATCATTCAAAATCTATATAAGAATATATGCAAGGAGTAATACACACCTTGGTGAGTTTGTGAAACAAAACAGATGCTTTTGAAAACTGCTTAATTGCTAGAATTAATTCAGGGGCATATTTTCAGGTTGTGAATAGTTTTTTCTGGCCTGTACCGGTAATGAGAATTGTGTTTTTTTTCTTTTGTAGATATTTCAAGGTGTTGATTCAAGAAATGGATTTGAAGTTAGATCTGGGATTCTTGTATGCTATTTTAGATCTTTTTACCCAAGAAAATGCCAATGCAGTTTCATCTGAGCAAGAGGTAGGAATAAAGTGTTAGCTGTTTTAAACACCAGTGTATCTGGTCATCAAAATTTCATTGCACAATGTCACAATTATCTTCAGCATGTTAATGCAATTGGAGTTGCTTATGACAAAGAATCTGATTACAAAGACTTTTTTTAATTCAGTCTTTTTTTATTCATTCTTTCATAATTTGCATGACTATGGTTGTAGGTATATAAAACTTTGTATACAGTGCTGTGCAAAAGTAAGTACACCCCATGAAAAGGTGTGTATTTTCAACATATTTGCATGTATGGATATTTGATCTTCACTTGACCAATATTGATAGATATGGTTGATCTAATTCAACAAAAAATGAAAATTATTCTTTGCAATCATTCATTCAACAAAAAAAAGTCAGAAATGCAATTGTGTGCTGTGGAAAAAATAGGTACACCCCCTACTTCAATCCCACCTTTGGCAGAAGTCACTTCTTGTAGGCGTTTCTTGTAATTGTCTATCAGTCTCCTACATCAAATGGGATAATTTTTTGCCCAGTCCTCCTTACAGAACTCCTTCAACTGAGTGATGTTTGAGGGCTTTCTTGCAAGTACTGCCCACTTCAAGCCCCCCACAGCATTTCTATAGGGTCAAGTCCTTGTTGCAAGGTCCACTTACGGTTCAGCTTCAGCTTTTTGACAGATGGCCTCATATTCTCCTCATATTGTCCTGTACTCTCTGGTACAATGTGCAATTCATGGTTGACTCTAAGATGGCACACTGGCCAGGCCCTGAGGCAGAAAAGCAGCCCCAAACCATAATGCTTCCACCACCATGCTTTACAGTTGGTATGAGGTTCTTTTGGTCAAAGGCAGTTTTTGGTTTTTGCCAAACATGAAGTCTGGCATTGTGGCCAAGCAGCTCTACCTTTGTGTCATCCGTCCAAAGCACACTGTTCCAATAGTCCTGATCTTCACCTGTTGTCTGGCAAACTTCAGTCGTGCATCTATATTCTTTTTTTGAGAGCACAGGCTTCTTCCTTCCTCACCCTGCATGCAGGGCAAAGTTGTGCAGTTTCTTTCGGATGGTTGACTTATGCACTTTGACATTGACTAAGGCAAGACTTAAATCCCTTGATGTTATCATGGGGTTCTTGGAGACTTCCTGCAGCATCTTTCGTTCAGCTCATGGGCTGAATATGGTGCGACGACCTGGCCTGCATAGTTTGCTAGTGGTTTGAAATTTTCTCCATTTGTAGATCTTTTGGACAGTGGAGTGATTGACTACAAATTGCTCGGAAATAGCTTTAAAACCCTTCCCAGACTCATAGGCATCAACAGGCTTTCTTCTGAGGGCCTCAGAGAGCTCTTTTGATCTTGGCACGATGTTGCCACACACCTCAATTGCTAAGATCAATCCAGACCTCGGGTTTCTGATGTTTATATAAGGCAGTGTCCTCCAAGTTACTCTAATCATTTGCCACCTGTTTTGGTGCACCCGATTCTAATTTTTGGCATTTGATGAAGTGATAAAGGTAGGGGTATACTAACGTTTTCCGTGCAAGGAAATTGTATTTCTGTTAATTTAAACAGTACAAATTAGTGCAAAATGTAATTTTTAAATGTTATTTTTTAAAATCAGATCACCTTTATTTATCAGTATTCTTGAAATGACGATCAAATATCCTTTTGTCCAAAACTGTAAAAAAAGACAAACCTTTTACTTTTTCACACCACTGTATACCCTGTATGTACTTGTGTATCCTGATAAGTACAAATTGTTTTGTATACAATATTAAGTACAATGTGCATTTTAGTTTTTTTTCAGTTAATTACTGTTTTAATGAATATATGGTGTATTTTTTCCATATTCTGAAATACGATATACAAAAAATTTGTCAACTCTCCTAATGTATTTTGAATTGATTTTAAAAAATGCAAAACATTTGACGTGCATTCACATGAAGAGTAGTTTTCCAGTGATTCTGTTGTAACTATCTGTATGCACTAATTTCTTTGAATATCTGAAATGCTGAATGACATCTGTCTTAATTAAATTTATGTTTCTTAGGTGGAGTTGTTTGGAAAGGATCTTGAGTACCTTAAAACGGAACTGAATCATGTATCGGCCACAGACACTTCAGCAATTAGTCTTTATGAGTATTTTCACATCTCTCCCATCAAAGTGAGCAGAATATTTTTAACTTCTGTTTTGATGGTCAATAGTATGATATTAACATATGAAAACAAATCCCTCTGACAATAAGTTTTATGATGGAGTGAATCAGGAAACTGTGATAATGACAGGGAAGAACAATTTCTTCTTTGAATCAGCTGTTTTGTATAATTACTTGTGTCTGTTCTGAAATTATCCGTTGTTTTGAAAATATAGTTTGATTTAAAAATCTCTGCTTTTGTTTAACAAAAACCTTAACATGATCATAAGAAAGGTTACCAACAAGATGAAGCCATTTGGTAGTTAGTATATGAAACAGACCTCCAAATGATTTGCATTTAAGGTTTTTCCAAAGAGAATGTTTGGATGTAATAAAGTACTAAATTATTTGAACAATTATGGATTTTTTAGCTCCAGAATGTGTAGCCTTTGATATTTTATGTCACTTATACTGTGAAACTTGCTTAATATTGTCACATTTTGTCTTCTAGCTACATTTAAGTTTTTCCCTAAGCAGTGGTGGTGAAGATGGTAATAAAGAAAAGCGAAATTCAGAACTTATTCCCATTCAGTCCCTCAACCTGCTGCTTAAAAGCATTGGAGCCACTTTAACTGATGTCCAGGATGTTGTGTTTAAGTACGAAGTACTTTTACCTCTTACTTAGTGTGCTGTCATTGTCCTGTGTGTATACAGTATATGTGACTAAAATAGTGTTTAATATTTGACAGCATTCTGTAGGGAAGCTGTGTTTTTCTTACATATCTTGTAAAATGTATATATTTCTTTGCAATTATATTGTACAGTATTGCATTTTGCTAGAGTCAAGAATTTAATATTTATTAGACATATGTATAGATTTCCAAATATCAAACTGTTAAAAATATATTGTCACAAGTCTATATTTTATATCAATTTATAATTATATGCATAAAAGTTGTATTTCATATTACATAAACATTAATAATTTGCTGCAAATATTAATCTCAGTCTTTCCTCTTAGACTAGCTTTCTTTGAGATGAACTTTCAGTTCTGCACAACCCAGCAGCTACAATGGGGAGTCATCAGACATTACTCTAAACAGGTACAGTAGATCCCATTTCTACACTAATAAGACATTTTAAGGAAACAGAAAAATGGATAAGTGGGTGAAGTGCAGTTCACTGAAAGTCTATACCTAAAAATGTATAGTGAAACTCCTTTAACAATTGTGTAAAGATCCCCCATAATAATAATCATCATCATCATCCTGACACTTGCTACTTCCAGTAAATTTCTGTTTTCATAAACAAGGGATAAGTGACAGAGGGAGGAGATCAGAGGGGGAAAAGATAGGGAAGCTTGTTATAAAGAGAGGGAGTTTTATTAGCCTCAGTCAGCCTTGCTGTACTTACAGTACAGTGTTTAACCTATTCTGCTGGTCACAACTAGCTCAATGATAAGCTCTTGCAACATACACTTTACCACTGAGCAAAGCCTGACAATAACACAAGATCAAGAAATAAATGAGACTTAGTTGGAAGTGAGACTTAGTTTATAATGTCTCTGCTGAGTCTGGTGCAAGTTTTCAATAAATAATTTCAATTGCAAGTTTTATAATTTAATTTAGAAACATATAAATGTTTATATTTAGGACTTTAAGATAAGTAATTGCCATCTGGGCTGCTCAGGTACATCCAGACACAGATGTTTGTCCCAAAACAATTGAGGGGAACTGTGAGAGTTGCAGGTCTCCATGACAGAGAATTTATAAAGTAATAGTTTCAAAAACAAACTAACCAGTAATAAATTTACCAGATGTTGGTTATGGATTTATTGATTTTCCACATACATTTGGATGTACTGTATACTGTATATAATCTGTAAAACTGATACACATTTGAAGAATGTTTTTTTTAATTGCATTTCTTTTTTAAGGCAATCAAGCAAATGTATGTGCTTGTCCTTGGACTGGACGTCTTGGGAAATCCATTCGGGTTAATACGAGACTTGTCGGAAGGAGTTGAAGCTTTTTTCTATGAGCCCTACCAGGTTGTTATTTCGTTTTCATGCATTTTTGCCTCACACTTGGAAAATAAATGATTTGGATAAGGCAAACAATGCATAATGAAAATGTGTTCATGCAATTTAGGCTAAATTGAACTGTGTTTTTATAATTCAGATGTGGCAGTGTAGTTCTAAGTTTACGAATTCAAGTCCTTTGTACAGATTAATATTATTTGATCCTACAGCTGTGGTTGAGCATCACATGGAAGACTTTAACTTGCCCTTTGTATAAATATTTATGTGCTTTACTCCACAGGGAGCTATTCAAGGTCCTGAGGAGTTTGTGGAAGGAATGGCACTAGGAGTTAAAGCCCTAGTGGGAGGGGCCGTAGGTAGGCGTTCTGTTCTGATGAATTTTTGCACTTTTGCATTTTGTACGAAGGGAAAATTACTGTTGATTTGATCAACATCCCCTACCACCACCATCCTCCCATCTGCATGTTTTGTGTTTACCAGTTTAGATGGCTCTAAATTGAAATATACAAAGATGACAAAAACCAGAGTGGAAGCACTGCATTTTACATCACAGATCTGGAGTTCAGGAAGCTCCATGCAGTGTGTTTAAAGTGGGGCGCCCCTGGGAAGAGCTGACAGACTGCACTGTTGCTTCCCTCAGGCGGTATAGCTGGGGCAGCGTCCAGGATCACTGGCGCCATGGCGAAAGGGGTAGCAGCCATGACTATGGACGAGGAGTACCAGCAGAAACGCAGAGAGGAGATGAACAAAGAGCCCAGCGGCTTCCGAGAGGGTATAACCCGCGGAGGAAAAGGTTTGGTATCGGTAAGTTCTGCAACCGTCTTTAACACTTCGGCGTATTTTATCTACAGTACATGCAGTGAGTGCTTTTAATTTTTTTTTTCTTCAGGGATTTGTCAGTGGTATCACAGGGATAGTCACAAAACCCATAAAAGGTGAGAAATGCTCTTATTTTTTTCCCCTCGTTTTTTGAATATTCAAAAATATTTAGGCAAATTGTTTGAGAAACTTTTTTTAACAGTTTACTTTAAAAAAAAACACTGGGGAATTATTTAAAAAAAGAAATATCCCTCCATCCATTTTCTTACTGTTCCTTCCAGTTCAGGATCACACAGATGCCAGATCCCAGAAAGCAACAGGCGTAAGGCAGGATATATCCTGGACGTGACGCCAGTCCGTTGCAGGGCAGACACACTCATATGCACACCAGGACCAATTTTTCCAAAAGCCAGTTAATCTACCAGTAGGTCCTTGGTCTCTGGGAGGAAATCAGAATATCCAAAGGAAACCCACGCAAAAAACTGGGAAAAAGAAATATCCAGTAAATAATCAATGAATATGTTCAGCACCTTTTCTCTCTGATTCCAATTGATTATACATATTTTGTACACACCACTGTGTGGTTCTTACATTTTGATCTGAGTATCTTTTTATAGAAAAGTATGCATACCTGGGATTTCATTTAATTTTTACTACTTAATAATGCAAATTACAAATGAGTAAATTACTAATTAGTTAATTAGTCTTTCCAAGCTTCCCAAGGATTTAGAAATGTAATGATCAGTAATCGCACCTTGCAAGTGACAGAGTCTGTAGGAGCAGTTTATGGGCAGGGATGATGTGGATGTCCTCTTTGCAGGGGCTCAGAAGGAAGGAGCTGCTGGCTTCTTCAAAGGAATGGGCAAAGGACTCGTGGGGGCAGTAACACGACCGACCGGAGGCATCATCGACATGGCTAGCAGCACCTTTCAGGGCATTAAGAGGTACAAAGTGATTTGTATTCCCACAGGCCCTAATACCTTAGGAGAGTAAGACGATGACTACAGACATTACATGCTCTTCTTCTTGTTCTTGTTCTTCTTCTCCTTCTCCTTCTCCTTCTACTTCTTACACAGTATGACATTTTTCGATAACAATCAAATGTATATAGAATTTAGCTACCATGAATTTTAGTAGAATTGGGTTGAATCTTTCTTTCCGTAAAAATACAAGACTTGCCTATCACCATACACAATAGTAAATCCCAAGTAGTAGGTGGGGCCTGTTCAGTCCACTTTTTCCTTTCTACGTTTCAGACACTCAAAATATGAACAAACAAATCAAAGAATCAGGCTATGTTTTCAGTTTGAAAAGAGACACACTGTGAAAATGAAAACATAACCAAGCTGGATTTGCTGTCCTTGAGTGTTAACCCAGTCCTTGCAGGTTTAACATCTGGATGTTACGTGCCTCTGGACACCCCTCTGTGGTATACTCTAAACTGTTCTGTGTAGCTGCTGCCAGCTGGTGAAGTTTGGCAGGTTCACTTTTAACACTGGACACCTTGTATTTTTAAGAAGACATGATTTACGTTTGTTATTTCAAAAAACAGTACTACTCAGACTCAGCCAGTAAATCCGTATTGAATGTTTTTTTTTCACTTGATGAGAGCAGTGTGATGAGGAGCTGCAAACTTAAAAGATAAACATTTATTCAAATTAACTATGAACTAAATGCATTACAGCACAGTCTCCCACACCCTTGGAAAGAGGCTCAGTGTTTGTCAGGATTATCAGAACGAATTTTCTGATCCTGTCCCACTACATCTGATTTATTACACCATCACGTGTTCTAGGTCTTAGTGTTAGACTTATATTTGGTGGGTAGTTGCAGAAAATAATAATAATAATTCTTTACACTTATATAACGCTTTTCTGGACACTCCACTCAAAGTGCTTTACAGGTAATGGGGACTCCCCTCCACCACCACCAATGTACAGCCCCACCGTGATGATGCGACAGTAGCTATATTGCCCCAGTACGCTCACCGCACATCAGCTACTGTATATGTGGGGAGGAGAACAGAGTAATGAAGCCAATTCATAGATGTGGATTATTAGGAGGCCATGATTGGTAAAGGCCAATGGGAAATCTGGCCAGGATGCCTGGGTAACACCCCTACACTTTCCGAGAAACTCTCTGGGTTTTTCAATAACCACAGAGAGTCAGGACCTCGGTTTTACATCTCATCCAAAAGACAGCACCTTTTTACAGTGTAGTGTCCCTGTGCAGGTCTCCCATCCAGGTACTGACCAGTCTCACACCTGCTTAGCTTCAGTGGGTTGTCAGTGGTGAGTTGCAGGGTGATATGGCTGCTTGCCATTAAACAACGTCCAACCTGATGTGGTGCTCTCCAACCTGCATAGCTGTCTAGACAATATAATTGCTCAGCCAGCTGTCTGTCCTTGCCATCTGGCTACTGGTCTGTAATGACTAAATGGTACAGAGTGTTCCAAGGCTAAAGTATGCTCCATATTTGTCTAACTAGTATAATCTCCTGGAGACAGCAATATTATTTGTAAGAACAGTAAAAAAAAGAACACAGGCAGGACTTCACCCTAAATTCCTTATGCAAGTACCTCCTTTTTTCAGTTCCGAACCAAAAAGTCCCAAAGTCATCTTCATTTCAGCAGTGTGATTCAGCTATATTAAAGTGCCTTATAGTTCTCATGTTATCCTGTGCTATGAATGTTGAAAATATTCCTGTTTTTTTTTTAAATGAGATAAATGTTTACTACTAGATTTCACACCTTTAGAATGCAAAAAGATCAAAAATTTCATTGGCTCTAGTCTTTAAGAATATTAATCTTTCCTGTCTACATTAATGCCGTCATCTTTGTAAGGCTGAATTTTGAATAAGTCTGTATTGATAAGTTGTTAAAAATTCTAACATGTCCTTTAGTCTTGTTGGTTCATCACATCCTTTATGAAGCAAAAGGTCCAGAAGTGTAACATAACCAAGACTGCCACAGTGATGCAGCTTCACTTTTTTTTCTGCATCACTTCCTTGGTTTTAATGCTTTATAGGGCAACAGAAACATCCCAAGATGTGGAGAGTCTGCGTCCTCCACGCTTCATCCATGAAGACGGAGTCATCAGGCCTTACAAGGAGAGAGAGGGGGTTGGCAGCCAGATGTTACAGGTGATTTCTTCATGTCCTTTTCCTGTGATCCAAGAGAGAAGGTAGGCTACTGTATATTATCCTCTTCGGGCACAAAGGAACCTCGTGCATTTGTCCAGTTGAACTGAAGCCTTTGATGCCAAAACATCATCAAGACTGCGAACTGTGGTGTGTTCTTTGGGCTGTCCATTGTAATTGGTAACATTTTGAATATTTGCACTGCTAGTGCTTGCTTTTATAACGCATGAGAAGTCTGAAAACAAATCAAGCTTACAACTACACGTGTCCCTTGAATGATGTTCTTAGCAAGAATTAATACCACTGTTTATATTCCTTAAGTCATCTATTTGTCAAATTATGATAGCTGTTGTTTAAGGCTCCTCTTGTTCATTCAATAAAACATAATTAATATATTTAAGGGTTCAGTTTTTTAATTTAGTTTCTCCTAATTTATTAGGTATTTAGTAAGTCGTAACATCTGAAGCCAGTAATAAATCAGTTTTCACACATTTAAAGTGTTTAATTTTAGAACCAATAGAGCATTGAACTAAGTTTCATGTGCTGTAAGGATGGTGTGTGCTCATTAGCTAGTTCCTTCGATGTTTCCCTCCAAATGTAATGCCAGGATCATGCCTTTCACTGCTCTTGTGATGATAGTTCTGTGACTTCTTAGGAGCTTGTCAATCAACAGGTTGAAAATTATATAAGTTTGCTTGCTATTATTAACTGATAAAGATGTCAGTAACTCCGCGTTGCTGTAGGGGGCAGCCTGTCCTTTATTGCTCCAGTTTCTGCTTTTAAATTGCATTTAAATAAAGCACCTTCACACGCAAACGGATCCCAGTGCTCAAATTCAGTACCTGGGTGATCCAGTATCAGAATAAATGATAGCAGTGTTCGTTGTAGTAGCACTTTTGGCATCTGATAGAAAATGGAGCAAGTAAATTAGCAACGTCCTACCATGCTCTGCTTACAGTATATCCAGTTTGTGCTGTGAATCAGCACACTAAACTGCAAACAGAAAATAATTGTGTGTTAAACAAATCCTTGTTGCTCAGTTTAAAAAATTGCAAAAGTACCCTTTGCCTAGAAAACTTAAAGCCCAGGCTTTTTTGTTGTTTACCAGCTTATTGTAGAAGTGAATTTTAAGGCAGTTAGCAAACAAAAATAAAGTCAGTGTTTCAAACCATACGGCATATTTTTATATTTTTCTTATTTACAAAAGGTCAAATATTTTGTTTTTAAACTGAACCCTTAAATAGAATTAGAAATGTAATATAAAATGTATAACATTTCTGTTAATGTTTCTTTACTAATTGGCTATTGTTATTTTTCTCACCATATGTCATATATAATTTCATGTTGATTGAAAACAGGAGCTTAATTAACTTTCACTCAGTTGCCTCAAAGCTTTATTCATCATATCATCTTTAGGATAAAAATCATGTTTTAATCTTTGACCATTCCAAATGGCAAACTTTAGGAGCAAAATTAAAAAAAATTCCAAACCATTGGTTAGATGTATCTTCTTTAATGCCATTTGCACCCTATGACTGCAAAGCCCGCATGATTGAACTTACATTGGCTATGTTTTCTCTTTCCTCTTTTGTCATGCTTGCAGAAAAGAATGGCCTGCACTCAGTGGATTAGGACTGACAGTGATGATGATGATGAGGACAGCTAGAATAAGTTTGCTAAGTGCTAGCGGTGCATGCATTCAACATAGCTTTCAGTGGTAGCTGTCACTCATACAGTCAGTTTGTGCTATCCATTGTACTGTATGATTGTAATGTCCTCAACTCTGCACCATAAAAGACTGCCAAGGGACTCTTTAACAGAGAATGTTAAGTGCCTGTTATAGATGTTTTATAAGAAAAAAACTTGGTTTGGAAATAATTTAGGATTTGATCTACATAACTTTTGTCATTTCCTCTGTAGTGAGTCTTTGTCTCCTATGTTTTTTAAAGAATCCCTTTGCTTTTCCGTCACTCATTCTCATGTCACTTCTATGCCGTTTCCTTTTGGGCTGTAATTTTCTGCTCATGAAAACATTGATTTGTGAATTTAAACTTAATAAAATGCATTTTGAAACACTGCTTTTTAATTGTTTACTATTTTCAGGACACAAATCTCAGGAACAAAGCTTTTATTTTTAAAAATGTTTTGAAACAACTATGGACAAGCTGTTGTATTTTGTTTTTCACAGGAAAGCCTGTAATATTACCTTTTAAGAATTTCTTAAATATGTTCTCACTACCAAGCTTTTTCCAAGCTGTCTGTTGTGTAAATAGATGTTTTTGTGATCAATGGGAGATTTGCCTTAGGACTCTGCTAATGGTAGTTTTGTCATGTAAATATGAACATAAAAGAAAAATGAACACTGGAGAGCAATGCTGAGCTCAGTCCTCCAAAAAGTTTTGGTTTGTTCAGAGACTGTTCATCAACACATTTTCATGAATGTGTTGAACAAGAGGTTACCTGTAGTTAGTAAGTGTTGGTGACAATTAATTATATTCAGACTATTCAATATGTTGTATCTGTAAACAGTTTAAACTGGTTGTGCCAGAGTATTTTGGAAGGTTTCAGATGTTGACATTAATCTTCTGAGCACATTTCTAAGTTTCCATTGATGAAGACGAAGTACAGTTTTGTTTAACGTATGACTGCTTCATTGGATTATGTAGGACAACACACACTACGCATTTGGCAGTGTCTATTTTCATCAGATCTACAGAGGTTCAGGTTTGTGTTCAGAAATAATTCATTACAGGTAAAAAATGGAAGGTAGGATTTAATTATTTCATGACTAATAATAAAACTAAAAAAATAAACACTATATAAAAAATCTTTTTACACTTCTTTAAGTCTGTTATAATAATATGTGATACTATTAAATTATGAGTTTAAAAACGTTTTATAATACTATAAAAAGGAGTAGTTGCCAAAATATAGAATAGATTTATATACTGTACATTTACTACAGCAGTTTTTAAAATGCAATTAGTATTCCACCACACCACTCCAAAGGGGACAATGTAGAACTTTTCTTACTATTCGTAATTCGTGTGTGTTCAGAATATAACTGATAAAAAAATCCCTGTACACTCATCATGTCTCCATTTCCTTTCTTTAATTTAGAAAATAGAAAATGGAAGATTTGCCAAATATAAATACTTTGCTCATGCCAAGGTGAATGATTCAGACATTTTAATGATCACAAAAAGGTAATTGATTTTTTCCTCTTTGCTTTGTAATTTTTTGCAGTATTTTCAGATGTAAACGAAAATGTATAATGAGATTACAGATATCAAAAATGAAATTACATCATTTTGTATTTCTTACATTACCTGTTTGAACTTGACATTTTTGTTATAAATTACTTTCTAAATTTAAGTATTCAAAACTACTTTTGATTAGCTGAATTTTTATTTCTGCTTTTCAAATTATGTTTTATATCCGTTTTTAATCAAGGCATGCACTGTAAATAAAATATTTTCTTGAAATTTCAAGATTACGTTTTGTGGATATCAACATCTCAACTATTTTTTTTTTTGTAGCTGCATATTCTTTGTGACAAAAGGAACGTTTGGACAGCTGACCTGCGAGTGGCAGTACTGCTTTGATGAATTTACCAAAGAGCCCATAATTGTTGATGGAAGGAGGCTGCGTATCGAAGCAAAGGTAATTATTGAGTTACCTTATGTATTTGTAATTTGTAAGTTACCTTACATATTTATAATTTCTTGAATGATGCTTAACATAAAAGTTTTCTCCTTTAACTGATAAATCAGTAGAACATTTTCTGTAGATTCTGTGCACCGCTAACAGAGTGGATACTCATAACTCCTTTACTATGTATTGGGGAAGAGAAACTGTAAAGGTGCATTTTGGTGAACACTGGAGAGATGTAAAATATCCCCATTCTCGATAACACCTTTAGTCAGGGTTGTTAAACTTGAGTAGAGTAGGATCTTTTGAATTTTATTATTTAAACCCTAAGTTAATGTATTTTCTTTTTAGCAGTTTAGCCCATTACAATTTTCAGAAGAATGCGTTTGTTTCTGGGAGATGTACTTTTAAGAAGTTGAACACTGGCAAAAACTGTTATATTTGTCCAGTTTGTCAGGCTGTTTTGCTAGCTCAATAACTGAGAGCTTGAGTTGAACAAGGCCAGAACACACTACAGTCATCACGCAGCTGAACTTGACAGTCCTTTTCTGGATCGTTCAGTGCTCTTTCTTCACTGTAGACTTTTCTCCTGAGTTATTGTCTGGTGTAAAGCAAAACATGTGTCCCTGAAGAGGTACAGCATCTTTACTGCAATTGCATGTGTCTATATAATACAAAACCAGTAGGTACAACACTAGTATAAGATCAGGTTTTATATTTGTTCTTGATATATGTATGAGGTAATGTCATTATATAAACTTAAAATTGTTATTTAAATTTTTTAACATTTAAAAAAAAATCGTTTTCAAGGGTTTTGTAAATGGTACATGTACTTGTCCAAAGCACTGAATATCTAATGTTTCTGTTGTTTTTTTTTACAAATGCTGCCTAGGAGAGAGTGAAATCTGTGTTTCATGCCAAAGAGTTTGGGAAGATAATAAACTTCAAAACACCTGAAATTGCCAAGGTATTTAGTTATTTCCTTACTTTATGTATTTTGTCTGATAGCAAACAATTTAGTAATGTCCTAGGTAGAACAAATTAGAACTGATTTAAGAACTTTACACATGTACAGACTATATTAGTATAGAAATAGAATCACATATACAAGCAGGGTTTAAATACTACTTTGTATACATCTTAGAAAATGTGCCCACAACATTTTTGCATGTATTCCTAGTTATGTTGTCTAAATGCAGACTTTTTTAACAGTGGGTACTTGCCAAATTAGAAGATGCGAGAGAGAGCCTGCCCAAATGCTGAAAGCTCCCAGCAGAAGAGTGCTTGATGAAAAATGAACATCAAATCCACATTTCTCCCTTTTAGTGCCTTTGATGTTCCTGCATGCATGAGATGGATAACCATGCTGTGCAAAATGTTTAATGTTATACTTACTGAGTTTGTAAACAGTAAATTTTACTTAGTGAATTTTATTTCTAATCTGTTTATATGCGATTTCAGGAGGTTGTGCCTAATTTTCTAGTCTTCTTTGCAAAGTGCGCAGTTTCTTGGTATTAAAATTAATGGCCCTGGTGCTGTCACAACATCAACAACAGCACTATGGTTTCACATTGAATTTTAATAGCAGTCGCTCTTGACACTACCAGTTAATCAAGTGCCACACTTATTATTGTCCAGATGAAAGTGCCAGCAAATTTTCCCTTTACACCTCCATTTTTATTTTTAAAATATAATTCTGAAGTCTTTTCTAATTGCTGATGTTATGAGTAGCATTTCAGAGAGCTTTATCCCGTTACGGATGTTTTCTATTGAATGTATTTCAATTTAATCCCATAAAGAGAAAACTCCTTGTTTTCATATCTATTTAATTATTTTCTGTTAAGGCAAAAGTTCCTGCATGTTGATACTGTTATGAATAGCAGTATGCTATGTACAGAAGCATGTTATTTTTATAGTCCACAAGATGCATCTTTTCTTCTTTGGAGTTTTTACTGGTTTTGTTGTATATTGTTCCAATTTATCAAAAATATAACAATATCAAAAAGGTTCTTTTGGGTTTTCCGTAGTACTATTGGACTGTACATTCAGTCCTAATTAAAACATGTGTATATTAAGAACATCTCTTAAGTTGTAATTTACAAAGCTGTAAAATTAAAAGTGATAAGATTTAATCGGCTACTTCTCAGAGTTATACATTAATAGCCATAACAGACAAAAGTGTGTTATTTTTTTGTTTTTGTTCATTGAACCTAACAGTGGGGACATTTTTCATAAAGCTCATAATCGTTGAATGTTCCTTTGCTTTAAGTGTTCAGAAATAAACAGGCAAAGTGAAGTGTATTGTGTACTATAATGGTGATCACTGGTGATGTCTGGACTGTTCCCAACAATTGTTCCTTAACCTTGCATTTTTTAATAAAGACTGAATTAATCTATCGATCTGCTCTTCAATTGTTGTTTATACTAAAGTACATTTGTGATTGTTTACATTACAACATTTTCCAATTGCAACCACAATTTAGTTAAAGCCAGAAATGAATGAAAAAAATAACTTAAATTGCACTTACAGTAGGTAGTTCGGTAGTTTATAATAATAAACTATTATTATTATTTCTCCATTAATATATCATCCAATTTTTTATAGTCTACTAGACAAAATAAACAATTTAGCTGTCTGTGCCATCTGGTTAGTGGAGGGATTTGTGTAAAATGTTGAGTTTTACGTTCTGAAACACAAGCAGCACAGTAACAAAATCCAAAACTAATGTTAACCAAGTGGCACTCTATTTATCTATTTCTATTGCACTCCAGGAATTTAAATATAGTATATCCACCTACAATTTATATAATGCCATTGTCTGAAATTGAGGCAAATTGCAAATGGCAACACACTACATTGATAAAAAATCAACTGGACACAACTGTACGTACTTACAAATACATTAAGACTGCATGCCAGACCTTTTATGTATAATAGAAAATGATGAGTCAAACAGTTATCATGTTTTATCATTTTACTGTAAAGGTATAGAATGACCATTTCACAGTTGAGACAGTTGAGATCAGTATCAGAAAATAGCATTTTATTCTCAAAATTGCAATTGCAAAATAGTCCTCTTGTCCACATTTAAGAAACGAGTCAATGTACAGTACATCATACTTCGGTAAAGAACTGTATCAGATGACAATATAGTAATATACAAATTAATTTAGAACTAATAGTATTTCAAGAATCTAGACAATTTAATGCAATACAGTATATATAGAAATACATATTTACATCTGAAATAGAAACAGCATACTACTGTTTACAGAAATTGCATCATTAAAGTCTCTTTTCACACAAAGTGTAAGCTATTATTTGGTACCATAACATTTTTTTGCAGATTCTGAGGTTAATCTTTTTAAACAGTTCCCATTTATCCACTGGAATGTGCCTAAATTAACATTCAGAAAACAGACATTAAGACAACCACAGTAAGTAGACGCAAGCTCCCAACAACATGTCAATTTTATACTTTCTACCCTGAGTTCCTTTAACAGATATTAAGGAGTTTTCATGTATTTGTAAACTATACTGGAATACACCGTCATAATAGAAAAAAGTGAAGATCTGTAATAAAACACAGTAGATAATTTTCCAGTATTTTCTGTTCAATGGTAAAAGGAGTTCACCAGAAAAATGCTGATTTAGGATCTTATTGGAAGTGAAAGTATTACCTTTCTGCGCCCCACCTCAATTTTTAAGTCTTGAACAACTAAAAACATCTTAAATGGCGGTTAATTAAGATATTGATTAAGATCTTGCGTACAACAAAAATTTGGTTGCCGAGGAGCAGTGCTGAATTACCCTTACCCCAACCAAACACTAATCCAATCTCCTGTGTAATTACTGATTTAGTACAAAAAACAGCTGCCATTAAATTTTGAGTTATTGTTATTATTTTTCTGAAGAATTCTAATAATATTTTTATTAAGCCCACTATCGACAACAGATCCAAATATCAATCAAATATTTTTTTACTTTCCACATCTGTAAAAAATGTTCTGCACTGAGCAAAAATTATAAGAGATTTGCCATTAAAATGCAACATCATTAATGAGTCAGGGTAATATGAACATGACTAAAATGTGTCTTCCTCAAAGTGGAAAGAACTGTACCTACAGATCAATTCATTATTTTATGCAGGGGAGGTTAATTTCATAATGGAAGGTGGGAAGGGTAGAGTAGAACTGAGTTTGGTCTGTGAAGTTTTCTTCAAACATTGTTTGTTTACTGTATATTCTAGCATAGAATTACCCTCTACTTATTTTTTGTTGTTGTTGATAGCACAATGGAGCAGGTTTTCACACTAACCTATTATTATTATTAAAAATAATATTTTTTTAATGTCGTATTCTTGCAGAGGGTTGCCCATCAGATCCTCAGACCTTTGCAGTTGTATTGGCCATTTCTGCACCAGATACTTCTTTGCACAGAATTGATGGTATTATTTGGAAACAGCTTAAAGTTTGATGGTGTTTATGCTTTGAGGCATTTAAATATATATTGTACATATAAATAAACATAAATATTCCTACATACCAAAGTTAGGAAAACCAGCTCACCAAAACAATAAGGAGTGTTTTGTAAACTAAAACTTTGTATTTCGTTTCAATAACTAATCAGTCTTTAGGACTTCATAAAATTACATTACTTTCATAATTCTACTCACAGTTAATTGACCAAGAAGAGGTCATCTTTATACATGTCTGTCCTTCTCAAGCATTTTTGCTATTTTTTTTTCAAAAAGAGGAAATTCTACAAAATTACAGAGCAACTGAGTTCTTCCTCACTTTAGAAAGAATATTTGGCTTCAGCTCTTAAGTAAAAAGCAAAGTAAAAGTTTTGCATTTGTTTTCAGTTTTTATACTTATATTTTCAATATTGAACAATATACCTACATTACAAAATGAGTTTAGAAAGGATAAAAAAGTAAACTTAGACCCCTCACAAGAGACCAGATTGAGTTTTTCTTCTTCCAGAAGTCAATATTGTTCTCAACTTTATTTTGCAAAAACAAAGACAACTGGTGTTCTGGTGACAGCGCAGCAAATGATTGCAATAAGTCGACAACTGCAGGAGCATATTTTATACTTCTGTCTTCACAAGGCTCAGCCCAGAGCAGTGACTTTACACCAGGCTGAACTCTTTGAGGTTCTGCTGGAGGATCGTATCCTTAACAGCAATAAAGACAAAGCGAATGTTCTCTGTGTCTGTGGCACATGTGAAATGAGAATAGATAGCTTTATCTTTATCTGAATTTTGTTCCCGGTACATGCTCAAAATGAACTTTTTGGCAGCCTCAGAATCTTGCTTGGGACCTATAAATTCACAGAAAGCAAACACAATCATGTCACATGTCATAGTATTGTGCACAGGTCATAACATTTCAGTGTTATTTTGTTAGATGCGGTTAGATTTGACCAGTTAAAAAAATTACATTTGTGTTAAATACAGTATTCTTCAATAGTATCATTTTGGCTTATTTCAGGCTGTAATGTTGGTTACTAACAGCTGCTTTTAAACTGGGTTTATGGATATGCAGCACCAAAACAGAAAATTACTAAATGGATACTGTTAAGCATGCCAAAATGGAAAACAGTATGTAAACGAGCACAGATTACTTACCAGTAAACTCAGGAAAATATTCCACTATATGGGAGTAAATAATCTTCTCTTCAAGGATATCTGTTTTATTTAAGAACAGAATGACTGAAGACTGCTGGAACCAGGGGTAAGTGATAATAGTCTTAAACAGGGCTTTGCTCTCTTCCATACGATTCTGGAAAGAATCCATTATATACATCAAATAAGATGCAATGTTACGATTATTTAGATTTATTGAAGATGGGTTTAACATTCCTGAGCATAATCACATTTATTGTCCTGGAGTGTTTTTTTCTTGTTATTTTCTTTACATTTTCAATCACGTTGTCAGAATTGTTGTTATTCTCCACCTCATTTCTAGACACAAGATAGTATTATGAAAATAAAAGGTTATTTTCAAGCAGATGTAACTGAATATAGACACCTTGACAGTCACTCTAGGGATCTGTTATCAAGACTGAATTAACTTTTAACTCACACACCCAGTAGTGGTTAGCATTGCTGGGAGACTAAGCTGTAATAGACTAGTATCCTTTGTACAGGACAGTAATACAATCTGACTCCACTTCAACAGAAATGCTTAAGCTCTAGGCTTAGGAAAGAACTCCTACTTCTGACAACTGCACCTATATATAAACTAAACATTACACTTGCTTTTTGTCCACATCTCAAACAGGATTATTTCTATAATTTCATACAAATACAGTTGTGCAAACAGATAGTTCCTCATTCGTGAGCTGATTGGGCTTAATTCTTTTGAAAATCAACAAAAAGGGACAGATTAGGAAAAATACAATATCTCACCTCATTGTCACATTCTGCTAAGACTTGGTCATATTCACTGAGTGCAACTAAGAAAATGATGGAAGTTACATTTTCAAAACAGTGAATCCACTTCCTTCTTTCCGATCGCTGGCCTCCAACATCCACCATTCTACAAGGTAAGACAATTTTACCCCACTCACGTTAATGAACATCAAACAATCCACTTCAGGCATGCACAGGGGTGAAGTGTCAAAACGTGGCATAACAGTTGAAATACTGAAATCAAACTCAACCGAAGGTTCAGTTATAATGGAGTCCTATTTGAAGAGGACCTGTAATTATTTGTAAAAAATATATTGGAAACAGATTTACAGCTCCTAAAAGTGAATAAAAAGGGAACAATAAGGATAAGCGTGGAAATACAGTAAAAGTAAAAACGCCCTTGGCTTAGGCAAACTAGGCAATTGCCTAGGGACTGGTGGATACCAGTGGACCCCCTCGATGAGCAACACACCACATTTTTAATCAAGTTCAAGTAGGTACAGTAGCTGCTTGACCACCGGCAGCTCTTTCTGTTCTTGATCTGTTCATCTAGGCTGTTCAAGTTTGTTAGTGATAAATTATATTAACAGTTGCACTTATCTTCGCTGTAAGATGACAATATCAGTGTGGTTTCAGCTGCTGCTGCGTAGTTAATGTTGTGATGATCGATTTCATTAATCTTTCATCGCGTCAAACACGTAATGAAACATTACAAGTGACTCTTTCTTGCGTTGAAAACTATGTTGGAATGGTTTAAAATTAAAATTATGTAGCTGCAAAGGTACGTCGAATCACGTCACTATAATAATGCACTGTATTTCACTGGATTTCAGTCTGTCAGATCCATGTACTGTAACTAGCGAATGGTAGACAAGCCACATTTTCCAACTAGACACGTAAACTACTTGAGTTAACAGTTTCACATTTCTCATTACTTCTTATACAGTTATACAGTTAATTTATTTAATAGTTCTAACCAATTAAATAAGTTTGGGGTGGGAGCTGACAATAGTAGTGTATGCGCAAATTGTGACTTGGAGGGGCCCCCTTCCAAGATCTTGCCTAGGGTCTCCTAGGGCCGGCCCTGGATATGGGGATATGAGTTGAGGAGACTGCAGAAACATTTTCATGCCTACAAGTTTAGAACCACTGAAATGACACATCAGAGTAAAACATTATTTTAGTCTAGCATTCCATCTCTGAAGAGCATAATGAATGTAGTGACTCCCCAACATTTTTTTCTATAAATGTTAGGATAGTTTTTAATGTACCTTAATATACTATATATAAAGTGCTGTAATAACAATTTGCAAAACAATTTGTAGTTAATGTCTATATTTTGTGTGCAAAGCTCAATTAGAGAGAAATGTTAAATGGCCTAACAGATGTGCACACTATAATATGTATATAGACACCAGTAAACTAAGCTAAAGTTTGGATATATTTTTGCATGCTACTGTATATGTGCATGCATGCAGGACTTAATACTACCTACAGACATGAGATTATACCTGAAGATGACATTTTCTAGATCAAAGGGGTATTCTATGATTCCAGTTGTTGGTACTCTGACGCGTAGGATGTCCTGCTGTGTGGGCAAATATGAAGGATCTGAAATGCGGTCTAAGTCACCAAGGTAACTGGAAAACATAAGATAACAAACATTAGAGTTCTAGAAGCACTTAATATAAAGAAATCATCTATTAGACACCAAGCAAAAATGCTGTGGTATAAAACATACTGTATGCACATTTAGCTAGACAAGGGAAAGGAGAATAAATAAAAATAGCTGTGTGCTTACTATTTAGCTGAATCAGACAACTGATATTCCCGTCTTCTGTCATAGCATTCCTGGATTCCAGGATCATTCCATAACTTTCTGACGGCTTCTACATGTTTTGTCTCTAATGTAATCACCTTGTCAACTTCAACTTCATCAATCATGTGTGCGTTTTGCTACACAGAAGAAAAAGATGCATTAACAGATGTTTTAATGAATAATGGGAATAAAGATTTTTGTTTACACAAAGCTTTAACATAGCAGACATATACATAGAGGGTCTTTTATTTCTAGATCTCATTTTTATTTTTTTCTTGACGTTTCAAACTGTACATACTATTATTATGAAAATGGATTTTTCAACACATAATTCCTTATCACTAGGTAAACCAAGAATACAGTACTTTACAGACTGCCAGAAAAGAGAGTTCCTAACTACTAATTCAACACTTAACCATGTCTAACTCAGGAAAAAAATTCTCAATACATTTGCTATGCAAATCTGACCAAGCTCAGGTGTTTGTATGTTTGATTTTACTGTGTTTCACTGTGTCATTACAGAGATACCTGCTCCTCAGGATAATCAACTCTTTACAGGAGTTTATATGTTACAAAACAAGACCTAAGATACCCAAAAGATCTGAACCTGGTCACACAGAAGTGTGTCTGATCATTGGAAAATAAACCTGAAAAGTGTTTGTAAAGCACTCAGGTTTGAGATGTACTGCCTTCCAGTTTTAGAGGACAGAGGTAATTGTGGCTCTGCAGGACCAAGTTATTTACAAGCCACTCAAACCACATTCTGACACAAACCACACTTGAGGAACTGAGACCTCTGTAATATTTTTAGGCAACCACAATTTATTTCTACTCCTGACTCATTACTTGCAGATGAATCTGAAAAAGGAGTGTTAAAGGACAACAATTGATAAACAAGTAAACTATCTGAATGTCAGGTACTGTATGTACTGTACAGTGCAATCAATTAAGTATAAATCAGTCATAGTGAGTGAAAGTATTGTATGCCTATTGCTAAATCAACTACAACAGATACAATGCCCAGCCAATTCCAACTAACAAGGTATTAGCCATAGCAAAATAAGAAAATTCCAGGCGTTCTCAATTTTACAGCACAGGATAAGCATTGAGAAAAATATTGTTAGAACAGAATTAAGCAATACATATGTTCATGTGAGTCATGGAGTTAAATTGGACATTGCTTCAAGCATAAAATGAAATACTCAAGCAAATATAATTTATATTATGTCAAGCAACAGTTTTTACATTAGTATCATATTTGATTTCTATCATTAAAAGTGAGATTAAAACACATGAGATTAACTTCTAAAAAAGAAAATGATGTCTGGAACATCCATGTGAAATGCAAACTTCAATTCTTTTAAAAAAATAAAAGTGAGAGATATTTGCTTATCTTCCATTAACGTCTTGCAAATGAGACATCTGATGATCCTGAGTCAAGACAAGCACTAGATTTAGAAGCCAAGGGAAATAGGGTGCAAAACTTCACTTATTTGCAAGGGCAATGAATGGATATGGCTCTAGATGTATTTACAAAAGTCTGAAATTGGAAAAAAGGCCAATAGTCATGACAAGGGCTAAACATTATTACCATGTAAAATGAAATATTGTTCCCATGGAACAGTCGGAAACAGTCAGTTTTGATTTCATCACACACTGACACAGCATAGCTACAGTTTTAAAATAGAATATGATATATTTCCCTTCACTGCAAATATCTTCACCCCTTCCAGTGAAATCCCAGACGGCATATACACAGTTTTTAAAGTAAACAATCTTAATCAAACCTGAATCCTCAAACTGAAACTTTTTTATGGGTGGATCTTAAATGTACTCAAGACCAGCTAAGAAAATAATTTTCTAAAATATCTTGATTGCATAAGTATTCACACCAGCTGCTAAAAGAAAAGCAAAATTAGTTCAGGGGCATAAAATCACTTTGTCAAGTGAATTTAAAGCAAATATTCAAACACAAAGATCAGTTAGCATTGAACTCAATGGTGTTGAAAGGCACAGAGCAGAAAAGGGTAGAACATTTTTAACAATTCTGAAATACCAAGTATCTTTGAGAATGGTGAAGTCATTCACTTAAAAATGGGAGGTCGATTATACCAACTTAGAAACAGCTAGAGAATCGAGCTGCCCCTCCAAACAGAGAAAGGAGGAAAATGGTAAATTATGACACTGTGAGGCTAACATCTTTTTGTTATTTCTTCCTTGGTGAATACCTGATATTATAAAATCATCATTATCTAAACATTTTATGTCACTTTAATTTATTAATACTCATTTGCTGTTTTAATACTTAAAACACATTTCTTACCTTTTTCAGCCTTGATTGCAATATTTCTATCCCTCTCTTGGTCTTCCTAATATCATTTTGAACTTGTCCTTACATCGCATTACACACTTTACCTGGACTCGTTTTACAGAACTTTTTTTCTTATATTCTTGTAATTACTGCATTTAATGGGTGACATGGTAGTGACACAGGGATTGCTGCTGCCTGAGGGGACATTTTGTGTGGAGTTTGCATACTCCTCTCATTGCTGTGTGGGTGCCCCAATTTCTCCCTACAGTCCAAAGACAACGTTCTAGGTTAACTTACAGTACATTTCCATAAGCTCTCTCGTTTTAGTGAATGTGTGTGCTCTGTGATGGACTGGCATCTTATTAAGATATGTTTTTCCTTATGCCCATTGTCTGACTGACTCAGCTTAGGCTCTGGGTCAATATGGCCACGTAGTGGACTAGGCAGTGATAGGAGATGGAGAATTTAATTATCTGAAAAATGGTTATTCTGACGTGTTTACAAGTGAGATGAATCTGTCCTGTGCTTCAAGAAGAGTCGTTCCAGATTAATGAAGAGTGATATATTTCTGTAACATGGTGACAAAATTGAATGCAGTATTCAACTGTAAAGTAGTACAAAGAATGTAAAGGAATATAAAGGAGGCCTAACCAGTGTTATATACAATTCTATCATAACATCCCTTTCTTTGAATTCTACACTTTTGACTGGTTTAACATTTTGGTTGCCTTTTTTATTGCTTTCTCACATTGTCCTCAAGATAATCTCCCAAGTCTTTTTCATAAGTAGCCTCTTCTAGCTTAGGGTTTCCCATTTTGTATTTGACAGTTCATGTTTTAACCATTTAACCTAAACTGTTTTATGATTGTTCTGATTTGATATCAAACATGGCTAGTTTATTATTCCAGAATCTTGGTTATTCATAACAAAATTGGCAGTGGTCCTAGTATAGATCCTGGCACACTAAATACTGTACATCACTTAACTTTGAGTATTAACACCTAATCTCTCCCCTCTTTTTTCTATTTAAGAACCAATTCTCAATCCAAACACTTGCATTTCCCTGGATGCCTACCACCTACAATTTCAGAATTTATCATTTCGGCAGAATCTTATCAGAATCCTTCTGCAAATCTAAATGCAAATCTGTTACCCATCTCATTTAGATGTCATCAGTTACTGTACATCTGTATAGATGTGCTTTGCCATAGAAAGGTTTGTAGTGGTCAGAATCCTGAACCATTTTTCTTCTATGGATTAATCATCGTGGTTCATTAATCATTATAACAGTTATTAATGCTAAACCAGGATGAGTACATTTTAAATAAATAACACTACAGTATGTAATGGTTGTGCCTAGTATTGCACTAATGCTGAATGCAGCAGTCACCCATGACCACAATTTCAGTTTTACTTGCAGACATTCCTATTGGTAATTTCCAATCAGTGGGAGAAAAGTTAAGTGAAAGTCACTTCGTCCTTGATTTATTTACACAAGACTCCATTATAAGTGCTACCTGAGTTCTATAGGTCTACAGGTCTATTGCATACTACTATCACGATACTATGCCTTGACACAACTATGTCTGGCCAATCTTCATCTAGGTTAAATTCTTGTATCTACATTCTCTTTTTATATATATGGTTCCCCCTCTTTCTTTTCTTCTGTTTGGAAACAGTGTATCCACTAAAATTGTATTTGTCATGACAAATCCTTCTCATGATACAATTCTATAGTAATAATAATACAATACAATATTATTATTATTGTTATTATTATTATTATTATATAAGTATAGATATAATATAATAATATTATTATTATTATTATTATTATTATTATTATTATTATTATTATTATTTTTATTATAGTGCAGCAGTATGCTAACCACACATCGGCTATCAGTGGGGAGGAGAACAGAGTGATGAAGCCAGTTCATAGACGGGGATAATATCTAGAGGTCTAGATGTGGCCAGGACGCTGGATTATATGCTAAAAGAGCAACATCTATCTCTTTTGTTCTAATACTCATAGATTTGAGATATAAGTATTTAATTATTGCACTGTGGTATGGTGGTTAGTACTACTGATTCACAACAGTAGGTCCTGGATTTGATATCAGACTCAAGCACATTCTAATCAAATGTCTTTTGACATTATTTTGCAGTTTGCATTTTCCTCAGGAAGATCAGTTTGTTTTGCTTTTAATCATGATTTCTGTCATTCTGCTTCTATTTCAAATGACAAAATTAGGGAACTAAGAATTTAAACTGAAAACGCTTCAGCATAAGGCCAGTACATTCTTGCATGATCAGCATATTCTAATACTAAAAATGGAACAACTTTCTCTTGGCTTTTTATTTGCATACAATATTCATGCTACGTTGAGAAAGCACAAATCATTTAGTTTTTGCACAGGAACTACATAACTGCTTGGTTGCTTTTTGAAATAGTTGTAATGATTTACTGTATCATGACAGCTAAAGAGCAGGAATTCATACTTGAGATGTTTCCTAACACTCAAGTCTCATTTGTCATCAGGTTTGCCGACAGCATAAGTAGACTCCAGTTTATGTTCAAACACTTCTGAGGCATTATTTTTTTACGTGTTAAATTGTTGAAATTAGTAACAAAAATAATCTGATACTTCTGGTGTATTAATCATTGAGTTAATGATCTTATTCAGTATGTTGCTTAACCATATATGTATAAGAACTTCTGGTCAAAGAGGTAAATGCATAAAAAATACATTAAATTTTAAAATTACCAAGATTGTGATTTATAGGGTTGAGACAGAGAAATGGCTAGCAACACAAACAAAAAAAGTTGATTGAAATGTCCATGGAATGCTGTCAAAAGTATTCTTTTTAAAACTTCATTATAACACTTTTCAGTTCATCAAAGATAGTTACTTATGATATCATACATCAAACTCTTTGGTTCTTTGATGTGATGTGAAGAAACACATAAGCAAAGAAATAAAATGCTATTACATTTTAGCTAACAACTTTTAAATTCTTTCCTTAATGCTTATTTTGGTGTTTGTTTAATTAAAAGCAGAGATTACTGGACAATAAAACAGAGCAGATCATCCTGCAGTTTTTAAACTTTTTAAAGAGACACACCCGATAACCTTTTCATGAACCAGATACTCAAGTTGTACAGGTTTTGGAAAAGATATCTGTCTAAAGTGATAGCTGTCTAAAGCTTACTGTCTGCTTTTTACCCATAAAATAGATAAGTCCTTTTGATGCCTGTTTTTTTTTTATCTAGAGACTTGAAAAACAGAGATGAGGTGTGGAAAAGTGATTGGGTAGTATAAAACAAGTACCTTTGAACTTTTTCCTAGGGGGAAAAACAAAAACTGTACAAATCAAAATTCCCAAGATATTTGTACATTAGGAAACATGTACATTTTTACATGGTATAATTCATCTTTAAAAATGAAGATTCTGTCTGCATGGGGCTGCAGCAGCTTTATATAGAAGACTAATAGGCAAAATGATGGGGGATTTTCTTTACAGAAATAAAATCTTGGTATTAAGTTTGTTGGTATTTATGAAAGTTCCCTATTCTTGTGATTCTGCTATCACTATAACCTTAAGGATATAATATGGGTGCTAGGGTCTAATCCGATAATACACGTATAGCAATAAAACAGCAACAGTAATAATATAACTATAATGTCAATAGCTACATTTAAAAAAACAGTGGAGGAAAAAGTAAAATACTGAACGAGTCTAAAGCAATTTGAACAACTATATTTCCTTCTTGAATGATGATGTGAATCAATGAACAGATTTACTGTACCAACAATATTTTGCATGAGTCATCTTGCTTTCAGGCAACAGACAAGACAAATGTGCATGTCAAGCCATGTTTACTTATGGAAACAGGCTAGCAAAACTGCTTAAAAATCTCTTCACAATTAAGCTCTTTAATTTGAAAAGCAAATTGCTGAGCTTACAGGATGTCTCTATATGGAAGCACCATTTACACATAAGCAAATGTAAACCAAATTTTGTTAGTGACTTTCAATACGTAGCCTTTTTCTAAAATCTAAGCCATTTCTTCTCATTTTTAAATTCTAGTTTAGAATGTTACGCAAAAAAAACACAAGGATCTTGTTTTCAGTAATTACCAGTTCAAACTGCTATTTCGGCACTGGATTTCTCAACAGTAAAATAAATACACCCTTTAGTTTCCTAAATAAAAGTTGTCTGTAACAGAACACACAAAAATAACAACTTCACACAGATTCCATCCAAAAACACCCTTTCCTGCATGAACTTCCCCAGCGGGCAAGGACACACAAGGATTAGCAAGACAGACATATTAAAACAGCCCCTATTGTAAGATCTGACTGTCTATACACTTTACTAATAATGTATCCAGAATGTAGGATAAAGGCAGTACTAGTCTTTGCCACAGCACTGACGATAGCTGTGGAAATGGCTACAGGCTGTGAAAGGGGAAATCAAACACCAGGGACAGAGTCTCTCTCCTGATACAGTACCTCAAGTACCAGATCACGATACAGCACCTGATAGCAATTTCATGGAGTCAGTTCTCACAGTATTAATAAAGACAGAAAGGGATAGTATTCATGGTGATAGTAAAGGCTTAAGAAGTACAGTAACTACTGGTGTTGCAGTTGCACTTTACTGTGCTGTTTAGGCCACCACATATTAGAAATAACTTACATTTGTATCAGTAGGACAGAAAAAATAAACACTGGCAAAATTTAGTATTGAGGACAACAGTCATTAAAGCAAAGCCTGGTATGCATTGCTTAAAGAGAAAGACAATCTCAATAAGCAGTTTTTAAAGCTCCATGTATTAGATTCATAAATATATTTCGATCTCTTTACTTAAGTGTAGTAAATCCTGGCAGCATGTTTACTTTGTACTGTACCTCCCTCCACTGAAGAAGAAATCATAGTCAGAGCTCTTACTATGTTCTGTTCATCCTTGTACTGTATCTTTAGAGCCTCCATTGCCCTGATCATGGACTGCATGGCAGTGAATATGTTCTGATACACCAGCTTGGTGTAGTCCTTCTTGTCTTCATCCGTGTATCCAGACCCATGGATGATTCTCATCTGCTTGATGAAAGTGCTTTTGCCACTTTCTCCAGTGCCTACAACAAAATCAGACAAAACTGTGAAATTAGTATGAAATAATCACAAAACACTTTCAAAGTACCTGACAAGGCACACAAGATGCCAGATAACTTTTCAACATCTTTTTTTTTATATTTTTTAATATTTCTGAATGTGTTATTACTGAAATCTTGACAAACACAACAAAATGTCTCTTTTCATGCAATGTAGCCTTATTTCAAAGTGAAATGAGTTGTAACACTTTTGAGTATAAACTGGCCAGGCTGTGTCAGCACAGTAAGCTTTGGTCTGGTCTAAAAAGCCTTCAGTCTCCATTTAAAATGTCATGTAATTTGCCAAACCGCTTTATACCATACGGTGTAGCGAGAAGCCAGAGCCTACCCGTCAGGCAATGAGCCAAGACAGGGTACAACTTGGACGGGGCACCAGTCCTTCAAAGGACATGTGCAAGCCAATCATACATGCGGACAATTGAGGACAATTTGGAGACCATGGTAAAGGCTGGGGGGGGGGCTATTTGGCCCGGACACTGGCCAAACTTCCCCCCCTACTCCCTACTCTTAGAGAAAATGCCCAGGGATCTTTAATGACCACTGAGAGTCAGAACCTCGCTTTAACGTCTCTTTCGAAAGACAGTACCCACTGCAGTATAGTGTCCCCACCACTATGCAGGGGCCTTAGGACCCACACAGACTGCAGGGTGGGCACCCCCTGCTGATCCCACTAACACCTCTTGCAGCGGCAACCATAGCTTCCCAGAAGGCCTCTTTATCCAGGTACTGACCAGGCTCAACCCTGCTGAGCTTTAGTTTTAAAAACAACAATGCAATAATTTTTGCAGAAGCTCTGTTTAGTTGATACAAGACAAATGTGCCAGATGTAAGTTAATCACAACACAACCATGTGAAACCACAAAAATTACATTACAAAGATGGAAATAACAATAGTTTTTTTACATATGATTACATATTAATAGAGTATTCGACACATTTAATAAAATAACAAGTAAGCATTGTTATATTTGACATTTAGTTGTGATAAACCTTCACTACTGTGATTTAAGAGCTGTAAACACTGTAAATAGCACATCACACCGATATCTTACTAATATACTAATACTACAACTGATGTTATAGACTCTATACTGTATTTGTACTGTACATGTATGCAATTGTGAACATGCACATTGCTAGCACTACCCTGCAGACATCAGAAATACCAAACTCTCTGGAAAATGGAAGCTACTTTTTTAGATTGTGATGTCGTGCATGGCCATGCAATATCAACGGGAACCATAAATTAATTCAACAACTCTGAATTCTGAAATAAACACTGGTAAAATCGAGAAAAATTGTTATGAAAGCATTGGTTGGTATGTATTGCTGCTTGAAGAAAAGGGCAACCTTGATAGCAGTTTTGAAGGTTGCATGCATCTGATCTTGCATTCTTACTACCATTGCAGAAGCAGAACTTTAAGTTTAATTACATTTCTCAAATTTAAGATTTATTTTCACAGCTTTTAAATTACAGGTTGGAAATGAAATAAAAATCATAGAGCATCAACTCTTATACTGTAAATAAAAAGGGCAACTACCTGTAATGTACAGTACATGGGAACAAGTAATAGGTTTATTCCATGCTGAAAAAAAGAAGAAAGAAAACACAACGTTTCGGCCGTGGAGCCTTCTGCAGGTCACACGAAGAAGACCCCACGGCCGAAACATTGTGTTTTCTTTCTTCTGACGCAGCTACCCACCTGAACATCTACAGTACATGCAAATATACAATGAATGTTTTATGAAGTTTAAATTACAAGTCATGATTTGAAAGACAAAAATGTTCATATTGAACTACAGTATATTGAACTCTGTAAATGCTGTATCATAAGATCTTCTTTGGTAGAACACTGAAAAATGGTTGTTTTATACAGATAAGAATGCCATGAAAGCTCCTGTGACAACACTGTGACAGTCCTATAATAGCCGAATTCTTAATACAACATGCTGTTGAATGTACTGTCTTGCAGAAGCAGGGAAAAGAATTTACATTTAAGTGAATGCATGCCAAACAAAAAGAAGAGAGAATGTTTTAAGAAAGCCAAGACAGTTCCTTCCAGTGTTAATCCATATATCCAAGACATACTGGAAATGTTGTTCATCTCTTTGGAGAGTCCAAATCCAAGAGAGTCCAAGTCCAAATTTGGTAGCATTATTAGTCCAGTTATACTGTATATGGTACACTGTACAAATAAATTACGCGTACTGCATATGCATTCTGTTGTCCAGGCAAATTCTTTACCAATTAACTTCATAGGTTTCAACCAATTCTATCTAAGGCCAAATCACCAAAGGAAAATATTTTAAAAAACAATTACTTTGTTATACCCACCCAATCTGGAAGAGCTAGGTTTGTGTTTTAACACATCACAAGCATCACAGCCTCAGACTGGAGGTTCAACACCAGCTGGAGGAGAGACGCAAACCCAAGTGCACTGTGTCTTTCAGAGTTCAGACAGCCATGAGCAAATACGTTACTACTACTCGGTGGCACTCAGCCATTTGAGACTCTCAGTCAAAGTTGGCTAGTAACACGAACCAGTCTTCAATCCACAATGACAGAGCTCAGCCTGCACTAATACTTAATACATTAATACAATGCTTGCATTAACACATCACACAGGAATGAAGGTTTAATACAGTACGTATATTCAAAGGTAAAACAGCTTCCACTAGGGGGCAGGTCCCCTCCAGATGCTGTTGACTGTAATTCTGGTCCTTGATTACTAACCATTCCTAGAATACTTATTTCACCAAAAACAATCTGTGTCTTTGACTACAACTTTAGTTCTTGTATTTTGCCATTGTTATTTATGGCTTCCAAATAAACATGGGTTCTTTCTAAAATGTTTTTCTAAATACTGACATTCAAGAGAAGCTGATTAAACTCTCATTAACAAGGAGATCCAGTCCCATCTTCAATATCTGAATTTAGATTGCACCTTTGCTCTTTGCTGGGAAGTCCAGAAACACTGTCATAAATCTCCAGAAGAAATTACAGACATCCACGAAACCTGTGGTGCAAAAAGTCCTCTGCAAAGATTTGAATATGAATATCTATGGCTTCAGGGTGCAGCCAGGGTGTGGTGGCTGTGGTGACCCAGATTTGAAAAGACAAATACCATTCAGATTCAGATTAAGGTATTGCCACAAAACCTCTATTTGAGATCCTGCCTTTGGCCAGTTTAGGGTGCTTTATATTTTCTTGTGAACATGTTTTTATTGTAGGAGCTTAATAAATGAATGAAGGAAGCCAGTGGCTGGAATGAACTGGTTTACAACAACATTAAAGGGAAAACGAAGCCTTTTGGAAGTCCTGAAATTTGCTGTATTATGGAATATATCATGTCAGCATTAGAAATCCTAAATATTTAAAAGCCATAATAAATAAAAATACAAAATGAAAAGCTGCGACCAAATTTTTCCTGCTTATTTTTGCTTGTGCAGGAGCAAGGGTTTTCATGCGTAGCAGGTACTGTAGGTGGTCAGAAGTAAACACATTTTAATTACTGTAACAGGGTGTTACATAAGCCTGTGTTTACCTGCTTCAGCTGTATACTTGCCAGCTGATTCATGTAGCACAGGTTCTAAGACTGATAATAAGGAGGAAGCCATTTAGTCTTTCTAGCTCATTTGGTAGTAGCTAAATAATCCAAGGACCTCATGCAGCTCTTTCTTGAAATAATCATTTTTTCTACCTCTCACATTTTTAGACAACATAAAGTATATAGCAACTTTCTATCTCTTGCTACTTGGTTAATAATAATAATAATGATAATAATATTACTATTATTACTATGGGGGGTCTTGGTCTTTATACAATTAACACAGGACTTTTACTGTATATTGTAGGTACAAACTAAATCTGTTCTTAATGTTGTTCTCTACCTCTGTCTATTACAGTGTCCACTTGTATTCCCAGTCCCTCATTTCCATTGAAATCATTGTTATTGGTTTCGTTTACTTACTGTACACTGTACTGCATGTTTGAAGTCTAGTGCTTAAATGTTGTCTTGACTTCCAATACTAACTTCTAACAGTGCCTTCCCAATGTATTGGGACAGCAAAGTCAAAACTATTATTTGAATCTGTGCAAGAAGAAGGTCTCTACTCCTTTTATGATCATGTAAATTCATTTTTTTTTCTCTTTTGAGAAAAAGGGATCTGTGTGTTTATGCAGATTCGTCTATGTCCTCTTCAACATCACGTGGGGAAGCAATAAGGAAAGGAAATAAGCAAACAGAACGCTCCAGTAGGGTACAAAACCAAATGTGTATAAAGTAATCTAGGGAAGTTGTGCTTTACATTAACAATGCACAAATAAGACCTCACTTAATTTACAATATTGTCTTCCTTTTTGGTAACTATAACAGAAAAAGGGTATTGTAGCTTTACAAAGTATTTCAAGAAAAGCAAAAACAAAGATTTCACATATGGACAGGTTTAGGAAGATCAATGTATTCAGTACAGAACAAAGGAGATTGACAAGAGATTTGATTCAAGTACTGTATATAGGATGGTAAGGGGTATAGTAAGGATTATCCAATAGGGCAGTTTCAGTCAGAAGAAAAACAAGGAAACTAGGTCATATCTGGTACCTAAAAAGAAATGTATTTAGGACAGAGAATAGGAAACTCTTTAGACATAGAGTTGTATACAGGCTTCCCTACCAGTGACTGGACAAAATCTTATATCCACTTAGCTAATAAACTTCCTAATGAGCAAGATGGGGCAAACAGTGTCTTTTCATTTGCAGCCTTTCTTGAGTTCTTATGTTTGATTTTTGAATCTCATCAATAGTAGAAGATCGTAAAGGGTGTTTTAAAACTACTTCTTTCACATGCTGTATGATCATTATCATAAACATTATGAACATTTATTCCTAACTGAAACTTTAGAGACGATCACTTTTTATCAAGCTGCCTTAAAATATTCTTAAAAATACATGCTATACAAAAAGG